GACCGTACTTCTGTGGTGCCACACACGTGCTCCCTGCCTTCACCAACCCGTAATGCCCTCCGTGGTGCGGCATGTGCGGATGGTGTTGAGTGGCCCAGCCGTAGGTCTGAGTTGTATGCCATCCATCTGCGTAAAAAAAAAAGATCCAACAAATATATTTATCTCGGCTAAACTGTCAAAATCAGGGCCCTGAAAAAAATCGGCACTCGGGATGTATTTCAAAGTGAAGATGTGCCACGATGTATGTACGTATGTGCAACTTCTTTTGCATAATACAATGTCAACCCTGCTAAATCGAAGGTGCGAACTATTATACATTGTGGTTACATGTATTTTTGTTTTTAAGGATATATTTTTGTTTTCGTTGCCCAGGGGTATGAATAGATGTTGAAATGAAGGTTGTAGAGGAGGCGTTGAAACCCTCTTGTTGAGATCTGTTTTGACGCTACGGGTAATGACTTATCATCATTAATTATTGCAGAACATTACAACCGTTTTTAATGTAAGATGCTGTGCTTCTCCGCTAATTGTGTTGTTAAGAAAAAAACACAATTTGTTTTGCAAATAGCATCTCTGTTATCGCCACTATGAATATATACTGTTTGTATACGGTACAGTGGGTGGCCTGCACTATCGGTCTTCGTATAACCCATTTGAATTTTTACAGTTTGCTCAACCATAAAGTATTATTTATGTTTTTGTAATAAAGACATGCTGCCTCCGTAGGCAGTCGCTTAAATTGAAGAATAGATGAATGAACGTTGGCAAGTAATGAAGTGAAGTGGGGTGGGGCCGGTGGTGCAGTGCTTTGTGCACCGCACTATGAATCATGTTGTGAACAGAGTTCGATTCCTGGCCAGGGCCAAACATCAGCAGTGAGCGAGCGATATCTGAGACCGGTCCTGTTAAAGCCTCCCCCGTCTCTCTGCTCCCCTCACTCCCTTCACCAAACCCCCACTGACCAGCCGTGGTGAAGTGTGGCCAAACAATCCTCATGACCGACGCGGCAAGGGAAAAGAAAGACCTTCATCCAGCAGCGAATTGACTGAAAAATAATGAGAAGTTTCTCACGGTCATAGCCACCACTGAGCGCCGGTTTGCACAGAGTAGGAGGGTTCCATTCCTGCCAGTCACCGGGAAAATTCCCACAGTGAATCATTACCAAAGCCTCACATCCGGCACGAAGTTAACGTTAAAGACCGTGCGATGCCATTTCTTTTCTTCACACGATCAAACCATCGCTCGCCCTCAGTCCTCGCACGTAATCCCGCATGTAACCATTCGTCGTTGTCGTCTTCTTCATCACCATCGTCATCAGCGGCCATGGTCAATCCACTGTTGGATGAAGCCCTCTCTACCCCCCCCCCCCCCGCTCCGAAGGCATCTCTAGCGAGCCTGCTGTGTAACTAACGGAACCCATCGCGGACGCGAAATGTGGAAATCTAACGTCACCCGTATCTCAAATTTCCCAGGACATAATAATAATAACATGGCACTGCTGGCTGTTTCTCGATAACAACAATCAACCCGGGTGTCCATTGCACGAGGTAATGCATCTCAATGAGCTTCCACGTGGTTAAATAAAGGACGTCGATTGATTGACCGCCTGTAACGTTGGGGGGGAAAGCGCCATTGTGCTTCGTACACCTCATTTGCATCACCCCCCTCCTCCCCTCTTTGGGGTTTCAAAGTCGCTCGATCCTTGTGGAGACCCCCGGGGCTGCCCGGGGCCATGGAGGGGTCTGGGTTGGACTCCGAGCGGCGTGGGCCGAGGGATTGGCAGGTTGAGGGTGAAGGAAGGGGGAGGAGAGGGCATGGGGTGGTGGGGGGGGGGGGTAATGGGGGGGGGGGGTTGGTGGGGGTGGAGGGGGGGGTTGGTGGGGGGGGGGGTTGGTGGGGGGAGGGGGGGTTGGTGGGGGGGGGCCTGGTAACGTGGGGGGAGGGGGGAGGGATTGGTGGGGGGGACCTGCTAACGGGGGGGGAGGGGAGGGGGTGTAGGGATTGGTGGGGGGGGTGGCACCTGGTAACGGAGGGAGGGGGTGTAGGGATTGGTGGGGGGGGGGGGGCCTGGTAACGGGGGGGAGGGGGTGTAGGGATTGGTGGGGGGGGGACCTGGTAACGGGGGGGAGAGGAGGGGGGATTGGTGGGGGGGGGCCTGGTAACGGGGTGAGGGGTGTAGGGATTGATGGGGGGGACCTGGTAACGGGGGGGAGGGGGGAGTGTAGGAATTGGTGGGGGGGGGGGGCGGAACCTGGTAACGGGGGGGGGAAGGGAGGAGGGGGGGGGTGTAGGGATTGGTGGTGGGGGGGGGGGACAGCTCCGCTAATGGCCCAAGGTGGGTTTCCATGGCGACGGCCGGAAATCTGGCTAACGATGTGCTGCGGTTGCCAGGCGACGGGCTGCCGTGCTCATGCCGACGGTGCGATGCTGTGTGGGTCTCTCTCTCTGTGTGTGTGCTCCGTGGACGAGAGCGCCTACACTCTCGCCTGTACGTGAAGTGCGCGTGCGATGCCATCGCGTTATCCGCCTGTCGAGGTCTATGGCTGTAGGTTATCCGACTGTGTTGTAGGTTATCCGGTGGGTCATGTTATGTGTAGGTTATCTGTAGGTTACGTGAGAGGTAACGTTCATGTACACTCTCCGCCTGTATTTTAAATGTCTGTAGACTGTGTGGTTGGTTGTACGTTATGCGCCGACAGGTTATCCGATTGCAGGTGATGTGTGTTCGCGATCTGCCTGTCGTTGATGTTGCGTGTGTGAAATCTCGCCTGTCGGTTATCCAGTAGTCATTGGTGTGTGTGTGTGTGTGTTTGGTTTGCCTGTAGGTCGTGTGTATGATCTGCGTGAAGGTCATATTTGTGTTTAATTCATCTGTATGCAGTATTGTATAAGCCGCCTCTATCATTGATGTGCTGTGAAAAAGGGTCATGGCCCGAAACATCTCGAATTATATAGTTTTCCTCTTTAGACCAAAGTGTTATTGATGTGTTGAACTATTTGTATACGCTGTGTGTGTGTGTGATCCGCCTGTACAATTGCAGTACAATTTTGACTTCATGTTGCCTCTAAATTCAACCGCATTTCACGACTGCATAAAAAACCAGTGGGAGGTGCATCTCGGGGAACAAAGAGACATGTGGATATTTTAAAGACAATCACAAGTATAGAAAAACGAGCAGGCCTTGAGCCTGCATTTGAGCAGGGGCATGGAGCCGACAGCACGGAGGGCTGGGGGGGAAGAGAGTTCTAGACTATGGGGACAGTGGAGGAGAATGAGCGACACTCCCATTGAGCAAAGGTTTACTGGGGGCTTCGACAGAAAGCCGGAGCCGAGAGGGTGTGGAGGGGAGTAGGGTGAGATGATAGGGGAGAGGTAGGAGAGTACGTGGAGGGGAGTAGGGTGAGATTAGAGGGGAGTTGTAGGAGAGTGCGTGGAGGGGAGTAGAGTGAGATGAGAGGGGAGAGGTAGGAGAGTGCGTGGAGGAGAGTAGAATGAGATGAGAGGGGAGAGGCAGGAGAGTGCGTGGAGGAGAGTAGAGTGAGATGAGAGGGGAGATGTAGGAGAGTGCGTGGAGGGGAGTAGAGTGATATGAGAGGGGAGAGGTAGCAGAGTGTGTGGAGTAGAGTGAGATTATAGGGGAGAGGTAGGAGAGTGCGTGGAGGGGAGTAGAGTGAGATTATAGGGGAGAGGTAGGAGAGTGCTTGTAGGGGAGTAGAGTGATATGAGAGGGGAGAGGTAGCAGAGTGTGTGGAGTAGAGTGAGATTATAGGGGAGAGGCAGGAGAGTGCGTGGAGGGGAGTAGAGTGATATTAGAGGGGAGAGGCAGCAGATTGCGTGGAGGGGAGTAGAGTGAGATGAGAGGGGAGAGGCAGGAGAGTGCGTGGAAGGGAGTAGAGTGAGATTATAGGGGAGAGGCAGCAGATTGCGTGGAGGGGAGTAGAGTGAGATGAGAGGGGAGAGGTAGGAGATTGCGTGGAGGGGAGTAGAGTGAGATTATAGGGGAGAGGTAGGAGAGTGCGTGGAGGGGAGTAGAGTGAGATGAGAGGGGAGAGGTAGGAGAGTATGTGGAGGGGAGTAGAATGAGATGAGAGGGGAGAGGTAGGAGAGTGCGTGGAGGGGAGTAGAGTGAGATGAGAGGGGAGAGGTAGGAGATTGCGTGGAGGGGAGTAGAGTGAGATGATAGGGGAGAGGCAGGAGATTGCGTGGAGGGGAGTAGGATAAGATGAGAGGTGAAAGGCAGGAGAGTGTGTGGAGGGGAGTAAAGTGAGATTATAGGGGAGAGGTAGGAGAGTGCGTGGAGGGGATTCGTGAGATGAGAGGTTGGAAAGTGCGTGAAGGAGAGTAGAGTGAGATGAGAGGGGAGAGGCAGGAGAGTGCGTGGAAGGGAGTAGAGTGAGATTATAGGGGAGAGGCAGCAGATTGCGTGGAGGGGAGTAGAGTGAGATGAGAGGGGAGAGGTAGGAGATTGCGTGGAGGGGAGTAGAGTGAGATTATAGGGGAGAGGTAGGAGAGTGCGTGGAGGGGAGTAGAGTGAGATGAGAGGGGAGAGGTAGGAGAGTGCGTGGAGGGGAGTAGAGTGAGATGAGAGGGGAGAGGTAGGAGATTGCGTGGAGGGGAGTAGAGTGAGATGATAGGGGAGAGGCAGGAGATTGCGTGGAGGGGAGTAGGATAAGATGAGAGGGGAGAGGCAGGAGAGTGTGTGGAGGGTAGTAAAGTGAGATTATAGGGGAGAGGTAGGAGAGTGCGTGGAGGGGATTCGTGAGATGAGAGGTTGGAAAGTGCGTGAAGGAGAGTAGAGTGAGATGAGAGGGGAGAGGCAGGAGAGTGCGTGGAAGGGAGTAGAGTGAGATGAGAAGGGAGCGGTAGGATAGTGCGTGGAGGGGAGTGGAGTGAGATTATAGGGTAGAGGTGGGAGAGTGCTTGGAAGGGAGTAGAGTGAGATGAGAGGGGAGAGGTAGGAGAGTGCGTGGAGGGGAGTAGAGTGAGATGAGAGGGGAGAGGTAGGAGAGTGCGTGGAGGGGAGTAGAGTGAGATGAGAGGGGAGAGGTAGGAGAGTGCGTGGAGGGGAGTAGAGTGAACTGAGAAAGGTAGAGGCAGGAGAATGCGTGGAGGGGAGTAAAGTGAGATTATAGGGGAGAGGTAGGTGAGTGCGTGGAGGGGATTCGTGAGATGAGAGGTTGGAAAGTGCGTGAAGGGGAGTGGAGTGAGATGAGAGGGGAGAGGCTGGAGAATTTGTGGAGGGGAGTAGAGTGAGATAAGAGGGGAGAGGTAGGCACCAGGAAAGGTCTCAGTCTATGCACGATGTTGAAGACAGGTGAGGGCGATTTTGAAATTGATCTCAGATTGGTTTGGGAGCCAGTGCAGGGATTTGAGTATTCAGGTAATTTGGTAATGTTCATGGGCATGGGGGAGATACGTCTGGCAGTGGCATATTGAATCATTTAATCATTCCCTGGACACCCTTGCAAACGAGATGTTCCACCTCAAGGATTTTTTTTTTCCCGGTGAATAATATAAAATGGGGGGAAAAAATGTACTAAGAGTCAAAACATGGAGTTGGACGGTGAGAGATTTGGGGAGGCCGTGATGGAGAGAGTCGCAGCAGTGAAGTCGGGAGTCGCAGCAGCAGCTGGGGTGGGGGGAGTGGCATATTTGTGATCTACGTGGAGGTGAACGATAACTCCGGATCAGATGACATGGACGTCTGGTGGTGGCAGAGGAAGGAGATGCTGGGTCCTGGGAGAAGGTGGCCTGCAGAGTGAAAGAGAAGAAGTTGGTGAGACGGTGTTAGTCACTGGCTTTTTGGCTGGCCATCGAACAAAGACGGTCACCGCATCGCGGGCTTTCAGATGCGTTTCTGTGGCCGTCTGGAACGCTCTTCCTTCCGATATTAGGAAGCCACTGGAGCTATGCACTTTTAAATCGAGATTGAAAACTCATTTCTTTAGAACTGCTTTTTGTGTTTAGTTTGTTGTCCTTCCTCCGCAGCTCCAATTAGCGCAGTTGGCGACGTACGGTGTGAAATAAGTTCAACATGCAGTACATATAGTGCAGGGGTGAGATAGAGGTGAGAGCGACGGACAACAGTGTTGGAGATGATGAGGCTGAGAACGTGGTGGCGCGAGGCACAAGCAACCTTAGTAAAGGATTAAGGTCCTAAGTAGCTCAAGGAGTCTTGGATTCATAGACAGAAAAAACAATAGGGCTGCAACAAGTATCAGCTCAAACACACATTGTTATCGCAATACAGCGAGACAACCATTCTGATAGCACCTCCGATTAGCACGGTTGGCTATGTACAACATACATACAATGTAAGGAATGAATATGTCGATTTGAAGCTTTCGTGACTGCAGGAATCCATACTCTTTGGTTCTTTCGGTAAAGTCACGTAGGTAGAAATAAAATTAAACACATTTCTGCGGAGGGAGCTGGTAGGAACGTTGGGTTGCTCAGTCAATGGCCAAGGTCAACGGCGGCGTGGTGTATTCCGCAAATATGCTCGGCTGTGAGGGCGGGCACAAGCCGGCGTGAGTAGGTTAAACGTTGAGTTTTATAAGGGCACCACGGGATGACCAGCCCCTCCCCACCCAGCCCCACCCCTAAAACCCCCCCACCCAGCCCCACCCAGCCCCTCCCTGCACGACGGACGGACGGACACAATAATCCCCTGTGGGCTGGTGTAACCAGGATGTTCCTACCAGTAATGAAACAAATCGCGACGTTTCGATCGCAACAACAAGCGAACTTCATCAGAAGGGACAACCACAGCAATGCGACGTTCTTGCTGTGGTTGTCCCACCTGATGAAGTTCGCTTGATGTTGCGATCGAAACTTCGCGATTTTTTTCTTTTATTTCTACCTCCGTTACTTTACCGAAAGAACCAAAGAGTAATCAAATTGTCATTTGCCTGTTACCTTATTTATTTCACGCAACTGTGATATAATTGAGTTGCGTAAGCTCGTCTAGTGCTTGTTTGGCAGCTGACGCACACCAGAGTAAATGTATGCGTTAAGGTACCCCCGACCCCTCCTCCTCCTCGATTGGACTGGCTTCCCCGACTGGGCTGAGAGCGCGGCCATGAAAGACGCGAGACAACGTCGCATGGACGAGTTGCCAGGGGCGCAGCGACCAATATCAACCGAGGGGGGGCAATGCAAGATCCGACTGTGGGCCCCCTTCCGTTCTCCCAACTCACTTTTGCTGAAATATCAATCCGGATGTTTTTAACCCCCGTAAACAATCATGTGTGGGCTATTACTATATGTTGTTGTTATTATGTTAGTTGCGCCGTGTGTTGGGTTTAGAGGACGACAGTCTGACTCTGACAGTATGAATAAAACAAATATTTCAAGGTACAAAACTGACAATTAAGTTAGTATGCGAATTGCTTTAATGCCGGCCCCATCGGTTTAGGATTTCCCAACTGTATGCTGCTCTATTGATACAATAACCAGATGCGTTCAGCGGGCTTGGTTCATGGTAGAAAGCAGATAATTTTTAATGAATACATAAAAAAATCCTTAACATTGTTTACTTGTTTATCCGTTCGTTCGGGGTCCCCTTGTGGCCGACTGGGCCCCTATGCGTCGCATGACGCGTCCTGGACGAGAACCCATAGATGCCAGGAGTGGACAGAAATTCGGTGAGGAGTTAGATGATTACTTGTCAACGCACGCACGGCGAAGTCACAGCGATGATAATCAAATTAATAACGGTAATATGATATCCTAAGCCTGTTGAGCTAACAACTGCAATGGTGGCCTTACATCTTGTGTAATGTGTTCTCTAACTTAATATTACCGTGAGTCATTTGGCCAAGCCAACGTAGGGTACAGACTCTGTAATTTTTATCAACAATGAGGTTTGTAAATATATATATCCATGTACATATGCACTATTTTGTTTTTCTATCGTGACGTGGCTGTTCTTATCTTCTGATATCGATGTAAATAGTTGCTTATTCCAAGGCACTTTACAGCAATGATAAAATTAAGATGACGGTGGATGAGATGGGGTTATTAAAAGTGGTGAAGTTATATTTTTTTTAAAAATTCCTCAACTGTATTTTCGCGTTTTTTTTTCCTTCATGTTATCCGTTCTGTCACATTACACAAGATTTAAGGCCATCATTGCAGTTAGCTAAACATGCTTAGGATATGTACAGTGCCAGATTATCCAAGTAGTAAAAGTAGCATATGATACGGGCCCCGCAAATTCAAAGGTCCCGCGCTAAATGCTTTAAAGCTATCAATTCCGTTTCAGTAATTCTGCACTTGCTCTATTACTATAGTACTATACTGCCTTCAACTTTTATGAACTAGGTGTATAAGGTTAGTGATTTGTCGTATTATCTGGCTGTATAGCAAATGAAAAAATACAATTACTTTACTATGCAAGTAAAAAAAAGTTTTATTTTTTATTTAGGGCACCTTTATAACATATGTTACAGGCACCGCACTAGCTTAATCCGGCACCGGATATGTGTCGGATATAATATTATCGTTATTAATTAAATGATCATCGCTGGTGATTTAACCATATGTGTGTTGACAAGTCATCATGTAATTCCTTTTCACCAAGTTTCCGTCCACTCCTGGGATATATGGGTCTCGTCAGGGACGCAACTATGGGTGGGGTATGTGGCAGCATTATGCGACGCATAGGGGCCCAGTCGGCCACAAAGGGACCCCGAATCATCAGATAAACCAGTGCAAAAATGCTGGGTAAATGTATGTTTAAAAATTGTATTTCATTAAAAATGTACCTGCAGTCTACCATGAACCAAGCCCGATTAACGCATCTGGCTATCATCAATAGAGCAGAATAAAGTTGCGCGATCCACCCCCTTTGAGGAAATCCTAGACCGATGGGCCGGCATGAAAGCAAGATGCACGATAACTTAATTCTGAGCATTGTACCTTAAAATCTGGGTCTCTTGAGTCCGCACCTGGGTTTAACTAAACAGCCTAAACTAGACTGGTAAGTGATGGGGAGGCGGAGAGGCCCCAGTTAAGAGGTAAGGCCCTCTCAGCTTATTGATGAAGTTTTGGTTGGGCTTTGGCGGACGTCAGATGATGAAGTGTTTTAATGTGGAAAGGGCGGTGGTAGTGTCTCAGGTGTAGAGAAGAGACCCGTTAGATTCATGCTCAAAAGATTTTGATTCACGAGAGGTAAAGGTGGAGATATGACAGCAATTCCACCGCCCCTTCCCTAGCGGCAGAAGAATGTGTGCGTGCGTGTCATCTACATGCAAGTGATGGATCTGGCCTGCCTGTGTAGGTGTTCTAAATTGACGGAAACCCAAAAATATATTGTTACACGTGGGAATATATGAATACAGTGCAGTACGTATTATAAACGAAACTAAAAAGCTCTCGATCCTCGCCTGTGTAAAACCGTTGGCGCCAGCGCCGTTAGCAAGCGCGCGGTAAGGCTGCCGTAGAACGCAAGAGGGTGGTAATCCCGCGCCACCTGTACCCTGAGTATTAATTTTAGGTTGAATCAACCTAGGGGTGGTCCAAGACAGGTACGGGGGGAAAAAAGGCCATTGATGTCCATGGCCAGCAATTGAACCTGCGTTGCTGGGAACTCTTTATTTTCCGCCCCCATAAATGTATCACGATCACTCTTGATGCAGAGCAGGTGCAACTTTTCTTATTAAAGAATGGCCCACTGAAGAGGATAACACAGAACTACCTCTGAGATCCCTCCCGCTGACCACTGGTCCACGCGAGAAACAAAAGCGGTTTTTATTGTTGCTCATTCTGTGTGGCGTTTGGTATTTGTTGCATGATTGTATAACATACATGTGGCCAGGTGAACGCGTGTGCTGCATGTTAACCATCTCCGGGTGTGGTCTTGTTGTCGGGCAGGTGAACCACATGACGTGGATGCGCACGACCTCGACAACCAAATAAAATGAAAGGCATCTCAAGCAACGGATCCCAGCCCAGCCTCAACTCAGCCCACCCGGGACTAAACCCCACCCACTCGGGCTTTAACTCCGCCCACTCGGTGTTCAACCACGCCCATGCAGGCTTCAACCCCTCCCACCCGGGTCACATGACCCTGGGCTCCACTCACTCAGGAATGAATCACTCCCACCCGGGCCTCTACGCAGGTCACATGACCTTGGGTTCGGCCAACCAGGGGATGGGCCTCGGCCACGGGAGCCTTCACTCGGCCCACTCGGGAATGGGTGCCGTCCACCACCAAGGTCACATGACCCTGGGCCCCACCCACTCGCTGGGCTCCGCCCACCAGGGCATGAACCCGGGTGGTCACATGACGCTCAGCGCAAGTCACTCGGCTCTGGGCTCGGCCCACCTGCCGCTGAACCCCGCCCACATGCACGTGCGCCCGCATCCGGCAGAAGGGCCGGACCTGGGGGAGGGATATGGCGCGGTGCGACAGCGCCACGTGCTGATGCCCATGGACTCTTTCCCCATGGGACAAGAGCCGCGCGGCACGATGATGCGTCCCGTGGACGAGGCGCTAGCGCGTCAGTACTACGGACGACCGAGCGAGGTGAAAGACCCTCCCCTACGATCGTCGTCCCAATGGTCACTCACGTCATCTCCATCACGCCGATCATTTGCTGTTCATCGTTCGATCATCATCACCAGCTTCGTCAGTAGCACAGCCCGTTGGTGTCATTATTATCGCTTCCCTACCCACCGGGGGAATCATCGCCATCATTATCATAATGAAGTTGCGTAAATTAAGTCAGACCTGTTCAAATTGAGCCAGTGGAAGGCTCCTTACAAATGTATACTCCTTTTCCACTGATACATCTGAACCGTGCCAGAACGGGAACCAAACTGAAACCGAACCATGCTACACTGGCCTCACTAGACATTTTAATCTGGCTCCGAGCCAAGCAGGGCCAGTGGCAGGGCTAATGTACATTGAGTCACTGCATCACCTGCATCCGTCTCGACTCATTCAGTGGCACAGCTTAGAGTCTGTAGTTGAATAACACCCTGGCGAGCCAGGCTGGCTCAGCACGGCTCCATAGCTATTCTACCTCTCTTCTGATTACATCCCCTGACACTTATATCTGTTCTGAATACATCCCTTTTCAAATAAATCACCTATACCACGTGTCTATTACACAAACATCTTACATCTATTGTGAATGCATCTGTCACTGTCTTATACTGTCCTTATGAATACATCACCTACCTCGATATTGGTTTATTTAATATAGATGCGTGTGTGGGCCGCGGCCCTCTGGCTTTTCGCCAGTGCAGCTCGTGACCGAGATTGAAAACTCATTTCTTTAGAACTGCTTTTTGTGTTTAGTTTGTGGTCCTTCCCCCGCACCTCCAATTAGCGAGGGTGACAATGTACGGTGCGAAAGAAGTTCAATATATACATGCGTAATGCGATTGTCGACGAGTTAAGACGCTGCACTGTCCTCCGTCTGTCCCCCTTAGCGCGTGCCGATGTACGACTGGCAGTACGGCTCACGGGGACCGGGCAGCGGTGGCAGCATCAGTGGGCGCCCGCCCCTGACCCTTTGCCCCACTGACGCGGCCCCGCCAGCCCCCGAGGACCGCAGCGAGAGTCCCAGTGGCCTGCGGCAGCTCGTACACTCCATGCAGCGCCTCTTCTTCGCCAAGTCGCACGCAGCGGCAGCGGCGGGGGCGGCCGACGGCACCGTGCCCACGTCCGGCTCGTCGGGCTCGTCGTCCGGTCGAGGCTCGCGCCGCTCTCGCCGCCAGGATGCATCGAAATCGCGTGATGCCTCCTCGCGCGGCCAAGGCGGGGGACAACCCCGCAGCCGCGAGACCTCGCGCCACCGTGACTCCTCCCGCAGCCGCGAAGAGCTCCACTCTCAGCAGCAGCTGCAGCAGCAGTCGTTGCCGCCACAGCAGCAGCAGCTGCAGCAGCAGCAGCCAGCGCTCCCTTCTTCCTGGGAGCAGCCGCCCACCAGGAGCCGCGACCCATCCCGGCACCGCGAGTCGGCGCGGTCCGGGGAGCCGTGCCGCAGCCGCGAGCAGTCGATTCATCGCGAGCAGTCGCGATCAGCGGCCGAGCATCTCCAGTCCAGTAGCGGTGGTGGCGGCGGCAGCAGTGGGGGCAGTGGGGGATGCTGGGAACCGCATCCTGGCTGGGAGCAGACAGGGAGTGGCTGGGCTGAGCACGGCATTGAGCAGCAGCAACAACAACAGCAGCAACAGCAGCAAAGGAGACGCGAGCATTCACTTGGACGGCAGCCGAGTTGCAGCCGTGGGGAGCAGCAGCAGCATGCGGCAGCAGCGGCACAAGCCCCATCGGCCACGAGTGAGCGCACCCGCAGACGCAGCCGCAGCCGGGACTGGAGGCCCGAGGCGCGGGGCGGAGGAGGGAGGGTGATCGCAGGAGGGTGGAGCTCGGACGACAACTTGGACAGCGACGGGAGCTTTGGACCTGGTGGCAAGATGGCCGTCGGGGGGGCAGCCGTGGTGGGGCCTGTGCCGCATGCGAGGGCAGTGCGCGGGCGTAGTTACCCACCGGCCCTTGCGCCCAGCGACCCCTGGGCTTACTACAATTCGGAGGGGAGGTCCGAGTACCCGCCGCGACACCAGTACCTCCAGGTACCATCCACGAGGCGCACATACGCCCACCAAGGCTTTGTGATAGAGCCCCGCGGTGTCTCAGCTTGGATTTGTCAGCGTAAAGGTGTAATAATATCTGCATGTATCACTGTGCATGAGCTCAAAATGGTAAGACACCAAGGTCATCAGTATTGATGGCACCTGCTAACCATCAGCATTTGTTTAATAGGCCCGATTCTGCTAATGAGACTTTAGAGTAGTCAACGCCAGCCCAGAGTTTGTTTGAATAAGATTTTTTTCGCTTGGTAATATTGGCATTTAAACCCATTTGACCGATGGACTAAAATATGCTAATATAACCTAGCCTGTGGCTGCATTTGTAAAGAAACTCCTTGGAGACGTCCATTCTTGAAAAGGTGACCTCTTTATTTCTAGAGAATAACGTAAGTACATCTCCGTAATCAGTCAGACCCGATGGTTTCCACCTCGTCGCTCCGCGAACAGTCAGCCTCGATGTCGTCCACCTTGTGGCTTGTTGATCCCTGGGCAAGCGCCCAGACTGCAGGCCAACGTGTATACTGGCCACGTGCATGCACTTATTTGATTATATGCTTTCCTTTCCTTAAATTGACAGGAAAGTTCATGGTTGAAACCTTCCTCCACATTTGAATTCAGGTTTTTTTTCGTAATAATTCAGAATCGTGGGTTTTTTTTGGGCTTGGTTGTAATTTGAGGTCACTTTTTTGGGCTTCCTCTTCAGGCCCTGCCCCTTCCTCTTTCAGGCCTCACCTCTTTCCTGTTTAGACCACGCCCCTTTCTCGTGACGACCTGCCCCTTCCTCTTTAGGCCCCGCACCTTCCTCTTTAGGCCTCGTCGCCTTTGCATTTGTGGTGAGATGTATGTGTGTATGTGTATGATGGCGCAGTGGTTAACATGTTGCACTATGAACCAGGTCACCAGAGTTCGAGTCATGCTCACGACCAATAACAGTTACAAATATCTTAATCGGTCCAGGGCCTCCCATAGGTCGACTCAGCCTCAATTGAGTACCTGGTGCGACCTGTAAACATCGCCACTGGGGAGACGAAGCGAGCCTGGCGTGGTGTTGGACACCCAGCCCCTTGTGTGCTGTGCCGGCCTTCATCGGTGCTCTTTCAGAGCACTTGTCCCAACAGTCTGTTAAAGGCTGTCCGGGGATCTATGGTGTATTGTGACCTGTAGGTGAGTTGTATTTTCAGGCATATAAATAAATATCATTGTGCGTGTGCGTTATCTGCATTTTACGTATATTTTAGCATGCACAATATGTGTATTGTAGTGTATAAACAAGCACCTATTGCTACCATTTTGTACATTTGCACTGAACATTTTATATTTTGTATTATTTACGTAGTATATTTATGTGATAAAAAATACATCTACGAACATCATTGTCCATGTGCATGAATAAATAGCTTTTGCATACGTATTTTCATATATACATGTAATCTTAATTATAAAGCAGAAAATGCATCTGCTTGTTTGTGTGAAGCAGCAAAAACTCTCGAACGCTGAGCTCTGGCGTCATGAAATTTGCACAGCTTATGTTGTCTGGAATTTCTAAGTCAACGCGACTATTTTCAGCTCGCTACGTCATTCTCTTTTGTTGCCAAAATCGACCTTACTTATAAGTGGCTTAAGGTTGAATTTCCTTGAGTGAAAAACATCCGATTTAGAAAAAAAATCTCGCGACGTTAATTCTTAATTATTTTGTTCAGTCAGAGATGCTTATAATTGTAAAAGTGTTCTAACGTTGTGTTTCCTCATCGCGTGTTTCAATAGTTAAAGATTTACAATGTAAGTTTGTGTAAATTCAAGGAAACTTTTCGAGATTTTTGAATAAGTAAACGTGAAGGTAAATCAATATTGCTGAGCCGAATCAACTTAGAGTAAAAATGTAATGTTTGCTTGATAACGTTTTTGTGACATTTCCTACAGATTCCATCCATTCCGTACATTTCCTTGCTTATACTCGACGAATATCTGTGACAGCAATGCCAAAAAAGAAGAGACCAATTTTTTATCAAACTCAAATGAACACAAAACATCAAAAGCTGTCACGAGCCGTTTGGAAGAGAAAAGATCACGAGCACGTAAAGCGCACAAAACTCAACAAGCTGTTCGACGAAGCAACGAAACTGATGAGGAAACAGAGGCGCGACTTGCTGAACAACGATTGCGAACTGCTACAAGACGAAGAAGCAACGAGACTGTTGAAGAGACGAACGAGCGCCGAACACCTAAACGCCTACGAGCTTCAAACTCGAGAGCTATTGAAAGCGAGGAGCAGCGACAGCAACGAATTCAAAGTGATTTAATTGCTCACCAGAAACGAATTTTGGCTGAAACTGTTGAGGCTCGCAGATATCGACTCCAGCAGGAGAGAATTCGACAAGGCGCCTCACAGGCAAGAAACTGTCTATATTTGAAGGACGAAGCATTCAATTATGATCCTGAATTGGATTATTCAAACGTTCCTCCGATTGTCATTGGTAGAATGACATTGAAGTGCACCTTTTGCGATGCGCTGAAGTTTGAAGGCGAGACACCAGGATTGTGCTGTTCTGGTCGAAAGATTTGGTTGCCAGAGCTTCCGGAATTGCCAGCTATTGAAGAGCCTTATGAATGGTGATCATCCAAAGTCGAAAGAATATCTAAGCCTGATCCGCAAATACAATTGCAGTTTGCAAATGACTTCGTTTGGAACATCTGTGCCTATGCCTCAGTCAACTGGATTCATGCCAACTTTGTAAATTAAAGGTCAAGTTTACCACAAGGTTGGCTCTCTCTCCTATCGCTGCCCAACGAAGAGTCAAGGTTCCTACAAAGTTACTTTCTTGGCGACGAAGAAACTGAAGCGCAGCGTCGTTGTGCTGTGATTCCTGGCACCAGCAAAAGTTTTATCGCTTCCTTGCAAAAGATGCTGCACAAAAACAATCGCTACATTCAGCAATTCAAAATGGCACTTGACGATAATCCAAGTGAAGGCCTAAAGATCGTCATTAAGGCAAACAAGAAACCAGCATAAGGCCATGCACATGTCTTTAATGCACCGGTAGTCAATGAAGTCGCCATCATCATTGCTGGACATTATTTTGAAAGGTGTGGTATTGTTTTGACTATGCGTAACAATGATCTTAAAAGCATTTCCGAGATACACATTCCGTATGACGCCTTGCAATATCCGCTGATGTTTCCACGTGGCGAGGACGGATATGCCATCAACATCAATCAAGTTCAGCCAGGAATGTCAAATAAAGCCAACAAAATGGTGTCGGCAATGTCGTACTACGCCTATCGATTGATGGTGCGATTTAATGAGAACCGATTGCTAAATTACCGACGGTTACTGCATCAATATTTGGTTGACATGTATGCTAAGATTGAGACTGAAAGATTGCTCTTCATCCGATTGAACCAAAAGAAACTTCGTGTCGATGATTACATTCACTTGAAAGATGCGATTGTGAACGATGGCAATGCATAAAATCACGTTAAGTTAGTGATTCTGCCATCGACATATACCGGAGGGCCACGAACCATGCATGAATATGCTCAAGACGCCATCACCTACGTTCGTCATGGAGGCGAGCCGTCATCATTCATCACGTACACGTTAAATCCTAATTGCAAAGAGATGGAAGAGAATTTTTATTTACGGCCAATCAAAAACGGACCGACATGATTTGGTGGCACGAATTTTCCAGCAGAAGCTCATCAAATGCATGAATGTTCTCATCAAAGGCGAAGTTTTTGGCTCGGTTAAATATTGGCTTTATTTCGTCGAGTGGCAAAAGAGAGGTCTTCCACATGCACACATTTTTATTTGGTTGACGAATGGACTCAAAACAAATCAAATCGACGACATCATCTCTGCTTAAATTCCCGATCCCGACACCGATAAGAAGCTTCATGACATCGTCATTAAAACCTGGTACATGGTCCTTGCGGCGCTTTGAATTGGCAGTCTCCAATAATAGATCACGACGTTTCGATCGCAACACAAGCAATCGTCATCAGGTGGGACAACCACAGCAAGAAAAAAAACTGCTGAAGTAGGCGAGAGATCTGCTGTGGCACGAGGTTATATAGGCCTCGGCAGTAGGGGGGAGAGAGAAGGGGGGGGGGGGGCAGAAAGTGGACCAGTGACTTTTACTTTACTCCAGTGACCCGAGTGCTGCTGCTGCGAGGTCCACTTTCTGCCCCCCCCCCCTTCTCTCTCGCCCCCTACTGCCGATTCCTATATAACCTCGTGCCACGGCAGGTCTCTCGCCTACTTCAGCAGTTTATTTTCTTGCTGTGGTTGTCCCACCTGATGACGATTGCTTGTGTTGCGATCGAAACGTCGTGATCTATTATTTTTATACCTACGTGACTTTACCGAAAGAACCAAAGAGTATGGATTCCTGCAGTCACGAAAGCTTTAAATCAAGATTGAAACTGGAAAAATCAAGTTTTCCAAAGAATTCTGCAAAATTTGCCTTACTCTGAAGAGTATCATCAATTGCGTGTATCCAAACATCAGAGCAAATCTTCTAAATCGCAAATGGCTTAAGGAATGTGCAATTCTGACACCACTAAACGTCAAAATTGAGGAAATCAACAAATCTATTCAATAAATGATTCAAACACTTTCACGAACATTCTTCTCCATTGACAAATGTATGAATGAAGACGAAGCGACAAGCTATCCGGTAGAATATTTTAATTCTTTGAATCCAAACGGAATTCTGCCACACAAATTAGTACTGAAAGTTGGATCTCCCATCATGCTGTTAAGAAATTTGGACCCACCAAAACTGTGTAACGGATCAAGACTGACAGTGAGGGCATTAAATGCTCATGTCATCGAGGCATCGATTCTAACTGGTCCATTTGAAGGCGAGCACGTCTTCATTCCAAGGATTCCATTGAATCCAACTTATATGCCATATTAATTCAAATGATTACATTTTCCTGTTCGGCTTGCATTTGCAATCACCATTAATACATCGTAGGGACAGTCACTTAAAGTTACGGGCTTGGATTTGACAGACAAATGCTTCTCACGTGGACAGCTGTATGTGGGGAATGTCAAGAGCAAAGGATCCAACAAAATTATACATTCTCACCGATGAATAAACAGAAACCAAAAATGTTGTGTATAGAAAAGTTTTGAAATAATCACACTATGAATTAATAATTTGTGATGACTGAATTAGTTGAATTTATTGTTTCAGCTTTTTTCTTTCTTGCAAGCATCAATTTTTTCAGGGTTTTTCAGTGAAATACTGTAAGGGAATATGAAATTAATCCAAGACAAGAATCCAAGTCCCGGGCGAAGCCGGGTAGTAAAACTAGTACTTGTATATAGGACAGCAACGTGTACGTGTTTGTGCATTTATATACGTCTCGTGCACGGTAAAATTAGCGCAAGGCAGCCGGATTGAGCTGGTTTTGGAAAATCATTACAATCTGCCGATCAGGGTATCAATTTCAGATTTCCGCTGCTGCTGTTCACAGAGCCTCGTACTTTACACCCCCAAACGAGCGTCTCTTGAGACGTCCAGAGATACCTCTTTCATTACCTCATTCCCAGTGAGCCCTCTTTTATCATCCAATGCCCAGCGAACCCAGAGGGGAGTGTACGTACTTCATCACCTAGAGGATAGAGTGTCTCTTCTGAATGGCCGATTGAATGACCAACTTCCTTTACTGACTGTATTTCTGTACAGATTTCATGTTTGTCTATTCACTTGTCCTTCATGCTCGCTTGTCCATGTGCGCCTGTGCGTGTCTCTCTGCATGTTTGTCTGTCTGCCTGTCTGTGTGTTGGTTGACGTGTTAGTGTGTGCAGTGCAGTGCAGTGGTTAGCGCGCTGCACTACGAACCCGGCGTCCCAGGGTCGATTCCTGGTCATGGCCAACACCAGTGACTATTATATGAATCGGTCCTGGGCCTCCCCTAGGTCGAATCAGCCTCAAATGGGTACTTGGCACGGTGTGTAGATATCGCCACTAAGGAGACAAAGACGGCTGGGCGTGGTGCTGGCCACCCACCCCCTCTAGTGCCGTGCCAGCCTTCATGCTCGCTAACAGCACTTGCCCCAACAGTCTGTAATAGCTATATATGGGAGATCTTGTCTCTTTTTTCATCTGTGTTTGTGCATGCATTGTTTGTTAGTCTGCTTGTCTACGTGTCTATCCAAACGTCCCTCTGTGTGTCAGTCTGCTTGTCCACACAGCTGCCCGCCCGTCTATCTGTGTCCATCTGCGTGTCCACGTGTCTGTCCGCACATCTATCTGTATGTCAGTCTGCTTCTCCACATGTCTTTCCGGACCTTTATCTACGTGTTAGTCTGCTTGTCCACACCTCAACCTGCGTGTCAGCCTGCTTGTCCACGTGCCTTATCTGCTTGTTTGTGTGTTCACGTGTGTGTGTGTGTGAGCACGCGTCCACGTGCGTGTCTCTCTGCTCGCCTCACCTGCTCGTCCCTCCGCTGTGTCCCCATGCAGGTCCCGCACGACGACGCCCCGCCGCGGTGCTGCGCTCCCTCCCACCCAGAAACCGTCGCCCCCATCCCGTGCCGCCGGATGCGCAGTGGCAGCTACATGATGGCGATGGAGGGCGACCCTCCCCACCATCACCACCATCAACATCATCACCACCAGCAGCAGCAGCAACAGCAGCGGCAGCAGCGGGGGGGTGCCTCGTCCTCTAGCGCCGCGCCACCGCCGCACCACCAGCACCACAACCACCAGCAGCTGCACAGAGCAGGCAGCCGGAGTAGCGGTGGTGGCGCTGGTGGTGGTGGTGCATCGGAGGTGCCACCGCACCACCGCCGGTCTTCGTTGAGGCGGCCTCCATCAATGAGGTGAGCCACCATCAGGAGATAAAGAATACGCAATTAACAGGCAGGAAGTCTGTTTTGAATATGTAACGATAATGCAATCTGATAATTGGTTCTTTACCCTTCTTTTATTAATTTTAATTTTTACCTACGTGACTTTACCGAAAAAAACCTAAGAATATGAATCCTTGCAGTCACGAAAGCTTCAAATCTAGAATGTTTGATTCTATTTGTTTATTACGGGTTACAAAGATTTAGAATAAATAACAAATCTACTATTTAATTGAACAGTGACCCCAGCCTCGCGTCATGATCATTGAATGGCAGATGATCATTCAATGCAAGATGTTAACTGCCTCGCATGTTTTGCAGGAGGTCGTGGGTTCGATTCAGACCCTGACGTTTGCTGTATATTTTGCATGTCCCTCCACATTTCCAATCAACGTCACACCTTCAGAGTATCTGGCTGCTATAAATGTCCACGCGATGATGAGAAGCCACTTCGTGGAGCAATCATTTGTGGCCAGGTCACATTTGAAAGAGCCGTTTCGCTCAGTGGGCCTTACCGGGTAATATAAACAGTTTAGTTGAGCAACAGGCTTTCACCTCTACCCGCAGCACAACTCTTGCGCGTCGAGACTTTGAGGTCGTTGCCAATTCCCGCACCCATCACCGCCGGCTGCTTGGCAATAAACATCAGAATACGCGGACGGTCTCTCCCCAGCCGGTTATTTCACTTTCAGTCCCATCGCACACAGTGGATCGCTTCTTTTTTTAACATTCGCAGCAGAAGCGGCGCGAGTCTTGCAAAAGTCTCTGCCTCTCGTTACTTTGGGTCCCCATAGTGATAATGCAATCGAGAGGGCGCACAATATTTCACGGGCATGAATGACTGACAGCCAGATGATAATAAGCAATCATCCAAACTCCGGTCATCCTTGGCTAGCCATCGAACAAAGACGGCCACTGCATCGTGCGCTGTCAGATGCGCTTCTGCGGCCGTCTGGAACGCTCTTCCTTCCGATATTAGGAAGCCACTGGAGCTATGCACTTTTATATCTAGATTGAAAACTCATTTATTTAGAACTGCTTATTGTATTTAGTTTGTCCTTCCCCCGCACCTCCGATTAGCATGGTTGGCTACATCCAGTCCAAAAGAAGTTAAATATACACACTGGGGGGGGGGGGGGTGGTCTTCAAGTGTCTATTTAAAGTCGGCGTAGGTTGAACGCTGCTGCTGGGAATGCGCAGCGGGACGATGATGGCCGCGTTCCACGCGGCGAGGGCTGCCACGGAGACATGACGAGCGGCAGTGACGATGGCACCGGTCCTTTGTGCAGAGTGGAGGGGGTTGTGAGCCGCCACGCTGCTGCGAAGAGTTTTAGCCCGAGCTGGAGTGCAGGGTGACAGGAGTGAAAAAAGTCGCAGTGAAACAACCCGAGGTACCGTGGCAGAGGCAGGTGATCTTACAGCTGACCCTGCGGGCCATGGGAAGCCAGTAGAGGGAGCGGAGGGAGGGGAGGGCAGGCGCAGATGGACGACACAGGCGAGATGGTTCATCAAACGTTGGAGTTTCTCAAGGTGATTCTAGATTTGAAGCTTTCGTGACTGCAACGAGTCCCGTAGGTAAAAATTTTAAATTTAAATTAATAAAAGTAAAATAAGAATAAAATAAAAAATAAAAATCACGACGTTTCGGAGGCAACACAAGCTTCCGTTTTCAGGTGGAACCGTCACAGCACGATTGCTGTATTTAAGAGATGGTTCCACCTGAAGACGGAAGCTTGTGTTGCCTCCGAAACATCGTGATTTTTATTTTTTATTTTATTTTACTTTTATTAATTTTAATTTTTTATCTACGTGACTTTACCGAAAAAACCTAAGAATATTTCTCAAGGTGGCTTTAAGCTCGAACAAGGACCGAAGGGCATGGCCCTGGTGCACTATATGAAATGGTGGCTCCCTATCCAATTTTCTCCCCTGTCTTTGTAGCCCAGCACCTGTGCCCCTCTGGCCGCAGGACCACAATGCAGTCTGCACGGCTTGCACACTCGATAGCTAAGCCACCGGGCCATGAAGATAACTTAGCCTCGTTCCAGCTGCATTGGTGTGTACTTGCGTGTTTGTGTGTGTGTGTGTGCGTGCGCGTGTGTGAAGTGGTAGTGTAACGGCGTCCTGCGAACCTGACATCAAGTGGCGATTATGTGTGATGTGTGATGTGTAAACATCAGAACCGGGGAAGACAAATATGGACGGGCACGGCGTTGGAAACATCCGCACCCTCCTCGTCCGCCCAGTTGGTCTTCGTTGAGGCGTTCGCTAACAGCACTTACCCCCCCGTCGCCCCCCAAGGTCTGTACATAAGCTACACGGGTTGACTTGTCTTTGTGTGCCTGCGTGTCTCAGCTGTCCCCGGCTGCTCAAGGAGGCGAGCTTGAACCGGAGTCTGGACAGTCTGGACCAGGTGGGGATCTCCACGGCGCAGGACGGGCACTCGCACAGCAAGGGCAACACCTGGGGCCAGCACAGCCAGCTGAGTCGGCACGGTCAGGTGGGCGCAAGCAGCCACTTCGATATCGTTTTGTGTCACCCCGCCGCCCCGCCGCCAGCTGTGCTTTTGACCTGTGACCTGATGAGTGCATGTGTGTGTATGTATGTATGTGGAGCTTCTTTCGTACCTTACGTAAACAACCGTGCTAATCGGAGGCATGCGGGGGAAGGGCAGCAAACTAAACACAACAAGCAGTTTTTCAGAAATTCGTTTTCAATCTCGATCATTTAAAAGTGCATAGCTGCGGTGACATAGCTCCAACGGAGGTGCTCATCAGTGGTGGATGGAAGGTGGGGGCGGGATGGGGGCGATTGCCCCCCTCCCCCTCCCGCCTTGAGATCCATAAAATTAGTATCTTATTGATATCCACCAGGGAAGAGACATGGAATGCTTTTATTGATCAATGGAGGGGGCCCTGTTTAAAAAAATAAAAAGCCTTGGAATTTTTGGTCGCACTACCAGGCCCCTTCACCCCTCACCTTGGAAAGCTATTTTTAAATCCTTTATATTAAGTTCACTTGCTTGCTTGCGCGCTTACGACCGTGCAAATCTTTCGGTCGTTTTTAAATCCTTTATATTAAGTTCACTTGCTTGCTTGCTTGCGCGCTTACGACCGTGCAAGTCTTTCGGTCGTTTTTTAACCCACTTCCCGTGATCCAATCGAGCTGACATTTTGCACACAGACTCGTTGTGCGTGACAATTTATTTTCGTGAAAAATTTTTTTCCCAAAATTTTACACTTTTTAGGAATTTTTTTTTTATATTTTATTACCAATTGCTTAATGGTGGCAGGCAATCATCTGACCCATAGGTGGCAGCCATCTCAAGCCAGAGGACGAGAGGACTCTAGCCGCCACGCATATAAAGGATTTATAGTGAAAAACTTTGTTTTTACGGGTTAATTTTTTCTACATCCGCTTCTGGACCAGATCACCCACCCAGACCTCATCTGATCTGGTCATATCTCCGCCTGGAGAGGGCCTGGTGCTGTCGACTGCTGCATGGAGGCGTTGTGGTCAACAGAGGGCAGCGCAGAGAAATCTTTTTCATCACCCAGTCACGGATTCATAATGGGTCATACCTCGTTCGTATTATATGGAGTATGTTATTATAATTATTATAATGAACAACTATCATTAATTATGTTATAATAATTATTGTTTACATTGTGATATTACAAAAATTATTATGATTATAATGCCACTGCTCTTTAGGGTGTTTGTTAAGATCGTTGTGGAATGAAACTCAAGTAGCCAGAGAGAATCCACCATGCGTCCAAGGGAGATTAAAAGTTTGCCCTTCTTTTATATTGCTTTTAGTTTTTTAAACGTTACGCTCCTTTCATACTTGAATGTTTTGTCTTTTACAATACTCTGGGGGTTTTCTCTTGCATTCACACATTACAGTGCGAGCTGGTAACTGGGCCACATTTTATCTTCTGGGAAGTAATGGGGATTTGTTAAGAAAAAAGAAAGACTGACACACCTCCAACCCCTGAACTAGTCCTACAGGCCCAATCTCTGTCTTGACGTCTGGCGAATTTGTCTCTCTACATCCAATGAATCTGCGCACCTACAGTTAGCATGGTTGGCTACGTACGGTGCGACAGAAGTTCATGCATACATCTGTCTCCGTACGTCTGATGAATCTGTATCTCCACATCTGGCGAATCTGTCTGTCGACGTCCAATGAATATGTCTCTCTATGTCTGGCGAATACGTCTCTACTCCTGGTGAATCTCTCTCGCTTGTGTTGATATGAAAATAGGTTTTTCATCTTTTATCTGGCAACAAAACAGGTGTTTAAACACCAAACTGAAACCTTGTGCCAGGAATCATGTCTGCATTAACCACAATAATTGTGGTCAGAATGCAAAAAAAACATACTCTGGTAATATATGCATTGTCCTTGAAACTGATTGGTCCACACAAGAGACAGATTTCTTTTGAGCCTCGTCTCAAACGGTGTTAGACCAGAGGACGCCAAAAGGCGTACAGCCCAAAGACAATGCACTATCAGAGTAATGAGAGCTCGGGGTGAGCATCTACATCATGGGACCTCCTTTGCCAGTACCAAAATATGAGAATAGGTTTTTTCCCTTTTATCTGGCAACAAAAGGTTTCAGTTTGGTGTTTTAACAACTTAACATCTGTTTTGTTGCCAGATAAAAGGGGAAAAACCTATTCTCATATTTTGGTACTGACAAAGGAGGTCCAATGATTGCGTTGATATATTTTATTTGCCTCCTAGAGCCGGGAGCTGGCCGTGCCTGGAGCCGGCCAGGGCCTGGGTCCCAGGGGCTCGCAGGCGATGGAGGCGCTGGACCTGCCTCGCTGCATGCGCACCCGGCGCCACAGCTATCTCTTCGCCATCCAGGCCGGTTGCGAAGACGGCGAGGAAGGCGCGGTAGCGGCGGCGGCGGCGGCAGCAACGGGCCCAGCGGGAAAAATGGGGGGCAGCGCATCCAAGTCGCCCACTCCGAGTGAGTCGGTGTGGACATCTGTGACCTACTGGACATCTATGGCCCTACTGGGCATTTGTCAAATAGGGCTCATCGGATTCTTCCAGTCTAAATAAAGATTCAGTTGATTTTGTGGACAGCCTGGGCCGACTGCTCGGATTTAGACGAGGCCATGTCTAATGCCTCATTCGAAGCACGTGACCTGACCCAAGCAGTAGGAGCGTGTTTGCCACACGTGACGGAGGTTTTCAGTTTGGGCCTGGTGGCCGCTCTGATTCATTCTGTGGGTGTATTAACCGTGGATATAAAATCTCCAAAGACGCCTATTGTGCTGGCGCCACGGTCCCCATGTATGCCAAATTTGTAAAAATTACTCGTAAATTTCTTCATTGGGTAAAATCACGCAGCAACACTGCTTCTTACCAGCAGGCTACACTCATCACGTGAACCTTACCAATTGTACTAAACAGTAATTTTTTTAAATTATCGTTTATACATCGAAAACTGTTGTTGTCGCGTCTTTTTTTTGCATGTGCGCTCTTCCACGCGCACGCCTCTTCTTACCCGCCAGTGGCCACGTACGCCACCGTGTGCCGCAAGTCTCTCCCTCCGCTCCCGCTAAAGTCATCGCACCGCCCATTTGCCGCCAAGGCGTCCACGTCCGTGTCGACGCAGAGCAGCACCGAGTCGACGCAGGATGACGCGCCCCGGCCCTCCAAGGTCGGCGGCGCCAAGGGCGGCAGCTCGGGGGCCGCCGCGGCAGCCTCGACGTCGTCCGTGGCAGCAGCAGCAACAGCAGGAGGTGGTCCCCTTGCGCAACCTCCTACGACCCCCGCGGCTCCACCGCCCTCCGAGCGTGGGCAGCAGCAGGGCGGCAGCGGTGGAGGCGGTGGCGGCGGAGGAGGAGGAAGCAGCGGAGGGTCAGGAGGAGGCCCCATCTCGGGCGGGCCACCCGAGCGAAGACACAGCCAGCGCCGCGCCTCGGAGAAGTCGCGCGACAGGGAGCGCTGGCCGTCGGGCGGCGCAGCCACCGCCGCCGCCGCCGTCGCCGCCACCGTGAAGCTGTCGGCAAAGAGCCCGGCGGCTGATGGGAGCTCGTGGGAGCTGAGCGACTCTCTGGACAGCCTCGACAGCGCCCGGGCCATGGCGGCTAGCGCTGCTGATGGAGTGGCGGCTGCCTCTGCCGCTGCTGGTGGTGGTAGTGGAGTTTCTGCAACGAATCAAGCTGGCACCGCCAATGTTGGAGCTATCAATGCTGCTGCTACGGGCGCTGTTGGCGTTGCTGGTGGTGCCGGAACGGGAATTGGAGTCGGAAGTGGTGGTGGCGGCGGCAGTTCGAGCGGCCCGTCGAGCGGCACAGAGGGCAGGGCAAGGAGCCGCATACACGCGGGGAGCGTCGCGTCGGAGGATTCGGCCACGACGGAGGTGTCGCAGAGGAGCGAGCGTCTCTCCGTGGGTGTGCAGGTGCGTGTGTGAGTACGAGCGTGCAGGTGTGTGTGTTTGTGTAGTGTTCAACACGGAGGCACACACTCTGTACTGCGAGGCAACACTTTTATTTAACAACTTTAGCAGGTAACACTGAACGTAACTTTGGTTCCATAGTAGGCGATGTGGCTAACTATGTGAGTAGCGAGTTAACTCGAGACGAAGACCCGAAGACGACGAGACGCAGGATCCCGGCTTGATTCCACAGACGAGTCAAGAACGCTCCCGAGACTGCCCCCTTTATGGTCCTGGGCGTGGCCTCGTTCCGCCTTCGGCCACGCCTCCTTCGAGACCTTTCCCGAAGGATCTCGACCGAGCATCACGTGCCCCACTCAGGTTACCACGTCCTCCCTCACCCTCTCTCTCAGGCCATCACCAGGACTATGCCCCCTAGGGCTGGCTGAGATGCCGTACTTACTCTGGTGCTAGAGAGAGGCTCTAGGACGCACGGTTGCACTCCTGTAACGAGCTGGCGCGAACACCCGAGTGACACCATTACGTCACTACATTTGTGTGCAAGCGTCTTGTTGAGTGTGTGTGAGTATGCAGGTGAGTGTGTGTGCAGATTAGTGTGCAAATCCCACACAACAGATTAGTGCTTTATAGACCATGGCTTTAGAATTACTCATGCACATTTGCATGTCAATAGTCGTTGATAGCGTCTTACACTTCCTAGCCTTACTAAGCGCATATAGAATTTCATACCCATGATTTGCATAGAGCATTCTGCTGCGTTCTATCGTGTGCAGCTTAGTCTGCTTTTTACTGGTGTAGTTTATTTTTAAATGGATTTTTATGCATTTATTTTCGGTAGCCTTTCAGGATTATCCATAATTCTGGCTTGGACTCTGCGGTGCCGAGGAGTTCTTATTTCCCTCGCCTGGTACGCAGGAGGTTGTGGGTTCGATCCCGGACCCTGGTAACGCCTGTTGTCTATTTGGAATGTGCGTGTTCTCTCCCTTCGTGATGGTCGTGCGGAATTTTTTCTGGGTTCCTCCGCTTTTGCCCCCCCCCCCCCCTCCACATTTCGATTATTTGGCTGCGACTATCGGCCACTTCAATGAGCTATCACATGTGGCACGGTCGCCTCTGCAAAAGAGTTGATAGCTCAGTGGGCTTTACCCGGTAAATAAAAAATAGTTTAGTTGAAATCGAGTTCGGCTTTGTGTGCTTTTATCTTGCCTGTAGCATCCTCACCAGAGGGGAAATTGGCTATGCGCGTTGCTGGGTAGAAGCTAGGGCTGAACGATTAACCGATTTCAAATCGAAATTAGAAACAATGCGATTAGCAAATCGCAAAGGCTGCGATTTTTTGCGATTTAAAAAGTCCTATTACTTTCTTATTGGAATTTTTTATTATTATAACTTTATTGATTTCAGTTAACAATTGTTCTATGTTTGATTGTTCTATTTCAATTACATTTTTTGCATAAATACATGTTGGAAGCAATTCGTATCTTCTAAGTTCTCGTCCTGCATTAGAATATATAGAGCTGTTCATATTGTGATGGTATCATGTGGTAATGCTCCATCACATGGTTTAAATCTATTACACAGTGAATATTGAACTGAAGCTTGACTTTAAAAGATGTAATTGCAAATCAAATCGTAATCGCAATATCTGTCAGAAAAATCGCAATTAGATATTTTCCCCAAATCGCTCAGCCCTATGAAAAGCGACTCCCAGGACTTTTGGGCTGGCACGTGCACACGCAGCGCCTGCATGAGGATGTGCAGTTCCCCATGCAATTCGGTCGTGAGCGGCAACGCCGCCCACGAACATGAAATGTTTCTTCATCTTGTAAGATGAATCGCTTCTGATAAACATTGCGTTCCCGGGTTTTACAACTCGCCGTGTGATAATTCACAGCTCACTGTGGCGTTTGTAATCCACTTTACAGAGTGCCTGGGATAGCTGTAGACAAGAGATGGAGATGATTGGAGGAGAGATGTAGATGAGATGGAGATTGTCATCGATGGTTGTCGTTGATGGTTGTTGATGACTGTGTTGATGGTTGTTGTTGACGGTTGTTGATCGCTGGCATTGATGGTTGTCATTGATGGTTGTTGATCGCTGGCGTCGATGGATGATGTTGACTTCCGTTGATGGTTGTCATTGATGGTTGTTGATGGCTGGCGTTGATGGTTGTTGACGGTTGTTGTTGACTGCCATCGATGGTTGTCGTTGACGGTGAGCCGGTCTCTGTGTCGCCACCAGGTGGACACGCCGGACAGCGTGGAGGAAGAAGTCTGCACCCCGGTTCCGTCTCCCGTTGGGAGGTACCAGTCCATCGGTGTGCAGGTGGAGGAGGACCGGAGGTGAGGATCGGCGAGTGATGATTGTGGAGAGGAACTCGTTCAATCCCCGTCTCCATTGGCTGAAGCTGCACTGGGTTTGGGGATTCTGTGGCCTCATCTGAATCAACTCGACCTTAAAATACGTACCTTGTTGCATCTAATGAGTAGCCGGTGTGGTGTGTAAACATCGCCACTGGCGAAACAAAGGCGGCCGGGCGTGGTGTTGGCCACCCACCCCCTCGTGTGCCGTGCCAGTCTTCATAGGTGCTCACGAACAGCACTTGCCCCAACAGTCTGTTAAGGCTATACAGGGGATCTTTGTCTTTGTATTCATGTGGGGAGGTGTAGCGTCGTGGTTATCCCACTGTGCTAGGGGCCCGGTGACCAGAGTTCGATTCCCGTTCATGGCCAACACCAGTCACGATTATCTGAACCAGTCATGGGCCTCACCTAGGTCAACTCAGCAAAAATGAGTACCTGGTGCGGTGTTTAAATATCACCACTGGGGGGATAACGGCGGCCGGGCATGGTGTTGGCCACCCACCCCCTCGTGTGCCGTGACAGTCTTCATAGGTGCTCGCGAACAGCACTTGCCCCAACACTCTATTAAGGCTATACGGGGGGGTCTTTGTCTCCACTTGTCTTTAAACGAGCACCTGGTACAGCGTGTAACATTTCAGCACTGAGAAGACAAAGGCGGTCAGGCATGTGCGCCGTGCCGGGGCGTGAGTAACTCAAATGGAGTGGGAAAAACAAAAAAGAGCGAAGACCCAACAGCTCGGCGTTTTAATTTTGTTCACTCATTTGTCGTGTGGTTTTTTTCCTGTTTTTATTTAGTTTTCGAGCATTGTATTTGGTCTGAAACCACTTCCTTTGTGAGTAATTGAATCAAATACCCATTTGCTCTGGCTCCTCGAGTTGCGCTGCATGGGAAGCATGGTAAGAATATTAAATGATGATGGACACTCGCTGGCAGTCTCAACCTTTTTGGTCTGGCAGCCTCCAAAAGACCACCGGTGCTTACCCTCCCCCGCCAGCAAAACTCCCAACACAAATGTCTCTTGTCGCACACGAGTCACTGTTGTCCATGAGTGTGTTTTGTCACCGCAAAGCAGCCCTGCCATTCCACATGCACATTCTACGTTTGCGTGTACGTATGTATGTTGCTAATCGGAGGTGTCTCCTGCACAGTATCCACCTCACAGCCTGTGCCATCCCGGCTGCGGCGCGACCCACTGGTTGAGAACCGCCGGTGTAAGCGTGCACACGCTGTGCGTATGTGCGTGCGTGCGCGTGTACGTGCAGATGCGGGCGCAACACTCGCTCCAACAGCGTGGCGACGAGCGTGCAGGCCGACCTGGAGGTGGAGGAGATCTCCAGGCGCATCCTGGGCAGCGCTCGTAGCCCCGGGGGGCCCGGCTTCCCCGAGCGGCCCTCGTCCTCATCGTCGGCAAACACCACCGGCGGCACCGGCAACAGCCCGCACCGCAGCTCCCACCGCTCACGCCACGCGGCCAGCCCTCGCTACCGCCAGCACCCGCGGGTGGGAGAGCGCTGCTCGCGTTCGTGCGAGGGTTGGGGCCAGGGTTAGGGCTGTGCAAGGGCTAGGGTTAGGGCGGGAGTTGTGGTTGTGTTCGAGTGAGGGTTAGGGCTAGGGTTAAAGTTAGGTTAATTCTAGTGTTAGAGCAAAATTTGAGCTAAGTTAGGATTTTGATTTTAAGCTTTCGTGACTGCAGGAATCCATACTCTTTGGTTCTTTCGGTAAAGTCACATAGGTAGAAAATAAAATAAATCACGACGTATCGGGCGCAACACAAGCGTCCGTCATCTGATGACAGACCTACGTGACTTTACCGAAAGAACCAAAGAGTAAGTTAGGATTGTTCGGGATTTGAACTCGTTCAAACTCGTTCAAATCCCAACCAATCTTAGCGCTATGGTGAAGCCAAGTCTGGTCTTGTGTTGGAGCTTGGGCTATTTTACAGCTAGGCTAGGTGTAGGGTTAGGGCTGGGGCTGTATGGAAACTAGATTAGGTCTAGGGTTGGAGCTATATTAATGTGAGGTTAGGTCTGGGTGATCTGCCTCTGTCATTCTTTGTGTCATTATATTCTCGCCCGTGTCTTTTTTCCCGTCTCGTTGCCCGGCGCCGCCACGTGTGTCGTAGGAGGGACGGCAATGCCACTCTCGCAGCGTGCAGACCCAGACGCACACGCACTCGCACAAGCACGCGCAGGGGACCGCTCGGGCCCCGTCCCCAAGCCCTGCCGTGTCCCCGGGACCCTGGGCCTCGCGTAGTCGCAGCCCCCTTCTCTCCGCGGCCCCGGCCGGGGGAATCCCCATCGCCGGAGTCCCCTCCCCCGGCGCGTCGACGGCCGGTACCTCCGCGGCCAGGGACGCTCACTGGTATCTGGTGCGACTGCGGTCCGAGGGCCAGCGCCTCGACACGCTGTGCCGCCACGCAGAGGACCTGGCGGAGGACACGGACGTGCCGGAGGAAGGTGACCCCGTGACCCTACGACGACTCGTCATATCGTGGCCCCGTGCACACAGATGTGCTTCTGCACTTTTGAAATCTCGATTGAAAACGGATTTCTTTAGAACTGCTTTTTGTGTTTAGTTGGCCTTCCCCCGCACCTCTTGATTAGAACGGTTGGCTATTTATGGTGCGAAAGAAGTTCAACATACGTCCATACAGAGACGGCGGCACGAGGAAGTGTGGGGGAATGAGCAACCGAGTGATGTACATATGTATCTATGTTAAACAAAATTCACACCATATGTAGTCAAATTAGTCAATTAATTGGTAAATGAATGAACAAATAGTTAAGTGAATACATTTTGCGAACAAATGTAATAGTTTTTGTTTTATCCTCTGTGTCTATTGCGTACGGATGGATGAATAGCAACTCATGGGTCTACGTCCGGATTAGTTAGCCAAGCAGTGGCTTTTCAGTTGATGCCGCGAAGGCGGTGTTGATAGCGGTTGTGGTTGTCTTGTGCAGCGCTGGGCGTGATCCGCAGCGCCGTGGGCTCCACTCGACTACTGCTCTCCCAGAAGTGGCAGCAGTTCCAGAGGCTTTGTCAGGACAACCTGGTGAGCAAAGCCACACGCACGTCCAGCCCCAATTATACCACCACCACCACCACCGTCAACCCGATTTGAACATCAGCTGTGCCTCCAGCATGCACATTTACACCACCTCCAGCGTGAACATCCACATCACCTCCATCGTGCGCACTCACACCACCTGCAGTGTGCACACTCACACCACCTGCAGCGTGCACATTCACATCACCTGTAGTGTGCACATTCACATCGCCTGCAGTGTGCACACTCACATCACCTGCAGCATACACGTTACCAACTATGAAAGTAACTGATATTGTGCTGCTTACAATGTTGACCAGCAGCGCATGATATTATAAAATCTGAGTTCAAGCATTGAAATCCAGGTTAAAAGGTAAGATTTTAGAAGTTTCCGCAAGATATTTGATTTTTTATCTTGGCACGCAGTTGACTGGGAAGCGAGTTTCAAGCCTTAGGCCCCGGCGTATGAGAAGACTCGCTCCCCACGCTTGTTTTTAACATGCAGGACGTCCTCGTCAGAGCTGTCTGCAGAGCGAAAATTAGCCCCTTATACGAGATCTGCTTTGAGTGTGAGGGTTTTGGACAAGAAGACCGGACATTTGTTTACGTAGGCCATGTGTATTCATAGGGCGCCACCGTGGTGGGATATTAATTACCTCACCTGGTATGCATGATAAGCCACTTCATTGAGCTATCATTTGTGGCCAGGTCGCATCCAAAAAAGAGCTGTATAGCTTGGTGGGTCTTACCAGGTAAAATAAAAAAAAAATGTTAAGAGTTTTAATGGGCAGATATTTTTACACTATCCGGATATGCACTGGGAGCCAGTGCAACATTAATGTGTGTTGTGCACCAGGACCCATCAACGGAGCTGCGTCCCACTGATGAGGACCTGGCCGGCTTCTGGGAGCTGCTGCAGATCCCATTGAGGGATGTACAACGTCGCTTTGAACAAGTTGAACGTCTACGAGCGCGTGGCTGGGTCGGCAGCAGCAGCACTCCCTCCCCAGAGGTGCACGCTCATACACAAAGACACAGGGTCACCCGCGTCTGCCTACACGGGCAGTTGGGGTAAGTGCTGTTAGAGAGAACCTTTGAAAGGATGTGATGTGGCTGGAAAAACCACACCGGGCCAATGCTGGTGTTTACCGATGTAAGGGATGTCAGGGGAAGGCGGCTCTCCTTTACACCAGGATGCCCAGGACCAGTTCAGATATAGCGCTCCACTGGGAATCGATCACAGGTTTCCTGGATTGTAGCGCAGCATGCTAATGCCCGTGCCACTGCACCCCACGTTCGTACTAAGGTTATCTATCACCTGTTCTGGTTTTTTTCCAGGATTTTGTCTTTATGGGATAGCTGTCATAGCAAATCTGTAAGTCTTGCTGGAACATTGGAAGTCCTGGTTTGTGTCAGTTGCGTAATGACACACCACTCAAGACAATACACATACATGTAACTCTCCCTTCTTCTGTGAGTTGTTCTTCTTTCCAAGATGTCCCAGTTTTTCGTACCTGAGGTGGTAACCCTAGCTCATACACACACAGAGAGACGGTTGGCAAAGACTTAACAAAAAAACTCACTGTCGTCCAAACAGGAGCGGAGCACACCCGTGCCGTCATCTGCGTCGCAAACTCCAACCCCTCAGTTGATGGCACCGCCGCTGCCACCCCCGTCGCCGCGGCCCCAGCCCAGGCCCCGTACCAGCATCGCGCAGCAGACGTCCATCGAGACAGCGGAGCCACGAGCCCGCTCGCCCGCCGCGCCCAAGCGGCCCATGGCGTATCGGCAGCGCTCGACGACGGAGAGCAACGAGAGCCTCGACGTGTACCTGCCAGAAGCCCAGACCAGGCTGTAGTGTGCTGGGCCCGCTGAGGCCTTGTCTAGGCTTTTTATCATTATTTATTTATTTTTCATTTTTTACCTACGTGACTTTACCGAAAGAACTAAGAGTATACTTGTCTAGGCTGTAGTTCACAAGATGTGAGACTCTGGATTGTTTATGGTGTAGTGAACCAGCCACAAGGCACAGACCAGGCTCCAGTGTGCTAAGCCTGAGGCTCAGTCTGGGCTGCATTCCACTTGGTTTGTGGAAATGGGTTGTTTAGGCTGTAGTGCACTTGGCCCAAGTCACAGAGCACTATGCTGCAGTGTGCTAGATGTGAGGCTAAGGCTGTGGCTATGAGGCTGTACAGTATGCTACACCTGAGGCCCAGTCCAGGCTTTAATGTGCTTGATGTGAGGTTCTGGGTTATTTATGCTGTAGTGCACCAGGCCAATGGCTCAGTCCAGGTCTTAGCCTACATTGTACATGAAGATTGTGCCATTGTGTAACGAGTTTTTAGGCCCAGGTCCTTTGAGCCCAGGTTTAAATTTTGCTAGCATGCTAGGCCTGACGTTGAAACTTGGCTATAGCCTGCATCATGCCTGGCAGCCAGAGGATTATGACTCCAGGATTTAGTCCGCAAGATATGCCCAAGCCTCGGTCAGTTCAGACACTAAGCCTAAGCTTATTGGTGTCCCAGTCAGGGTTTTAATGCCCTGGCTTGTGAACCTTAGTGTCAAAAAGTTTATTGCATCAGATATCTTTAGGCCGCTTGTCCTGAATTAATGTGAGTACATATTTTTTTAGGAACGGCAGTATGACACCTCGCTGGCTAAACCAGTTCTTGCAAAGGTATTCCAGGATTTAATCATGTGCTTGATTTTCACTTTGATAAACCAACAGAAAACAACATCGGTGTCTGACGTGCGTGTTGTAAACAATGTAATTTCGCACGGCACTTATGAAATGCAGAAACAAACGTTAAAAGATTGGTCAATAAATGGTTTATTTATGTTTTTGCTATGGAGCCAAATCTGGTAGTGGAATTGTCATTGTGGATGGATGCATCAAATGCTGCTTAGCACCACGTTGACACAAATTAAACATTTCCAATTTGGCGGTGACCTAAGAGTCGTAAGTCTCTTCTCATGCCCATTCCATTGCCGAAATGGCTGTCTCCTGCAGCTTATATTTTGAATACACAAAATGGCTCCTCTTTCCTCAGTCTTGGGGCTGCTTGCTTGCTTGTCTTTTTTTTGTGCACAAAACTTAGAAATCAACGAATTTCTTCTTGTGACAAAGATTGAGCAGGCCTTTTTTTAGATTGTTGCATTCTGCCAATCAGTCCGAAGGTTCAGTTGTGGAGTTAGTTGTCTCCGATTTGGCTTTCACTTTAGTGAAATCGGTTTAAGGTTGTTGAGGTGGCCGGGTGGTTTTGGTGATTCATACTATCCATGTTTGAGCTCCAAGCCAGCACTGTTGAGAACCTTCGTTAGAATCTAGGCAGTTGCCTGAGATTGCGCCAGTTTCTTCAGCGAGCGTTTTTGTTGGTCTCAGCCTGGCCACCAATGACTACGCAAAAAAAAACTTGTTTCATAAAATTGCTCGTTCACTTTATTTGGTATGCTCAAGTCCTGGAGGGCTCAAATATATATATAGTGGACACGTGGTGAGCCGCTCTCCAGAAAGCGTGGAGGGGTGCCCCCCAGTGGTTACAGCGAAGACGGTGGCCCATTGAAGTGTCGTCCGCCTATGGAAAGAGATTCTGTGGTGTCTCGTCTGGGGTCCGGGGTCCCAACCGCGTTGAAGGATAACCCCGCTGTGTCCGTTCGAGTCTCTGGAATGCGCACGTCTTTCCCACCCCCCCGCCCCCCCCCCCGTGTCACAGACAGCTCGACTGGCACATTGGGTTGCGATGAAGTGATCACGCTCTTGGACAGGATGCTTGCTACAAGTGGGAAACTCCTTTGAGCCGATCAGAACCTGGAGATGGAGACTGCCTTGTATTTTACACCTCTCGCCCTCGTTGTACAGCATCTACCATATGTCTACCTCTGCTGTGTAGCCGACATCTCTTAATATCTCTCTGCCGCGTATATTTAACATCTTTGCCTTGTGTCTTACATATCTTTCTGCCTTGATAACGATGCTCTCTCCAGTTTAGTTTTAAGTCCGTGTTTTCCCTATATTGATTTATTTTATTATGAATCGACCACTAATCCAATTTGACTTCAAGTCTGTCACTCGTAGACCATGCATGGCTCTCATTGATTTTACTGCCATCCGCATTAAAAGGTAAAAATAAATAAAAGAAAAAATATCGTGTTGCACGTTTATGATCCTGTTGAGTTAGTATGTTTTCTACGTAAGCGTGACTCGATCGCATACTGTTAAACCATTTTCGGTATTCACATGTATGCTACACGTGCATCATATGTTGGGCATGCCTTACATTGGAAGTGTTAATGAACTTAATCGAATTTAGGTTTTGAAAGATTTGATCAAATTTTATAGATATCTAACAAATTTAAAATCTCACATTCAAATGTTTGATAATATTTGTCATGTCATTTTTGATGTTCGTTTTCGTGCTTTGAAGGTGTCTTGTTTGCACTTCTTTTCAACGCCTCCTTTCTTTTCTCGTCTTGTTTTGTTTCTCAGACAAAGCTAAAGGAATCGCGCGTCCCAACACGATAAATTCAAAGACACCACGGGATTGTCGCGCACGTCGGAGGTGCGTGGGAAGGACAACAAAACTAAACACAAAAAGCAGTTCTAAAACTCATTTCTTGAGAACTGCTTTTCGTGTTTAGATTGGTGTTCTCCCCCCCTCCCTCCCACCGCCAATTCGCATGGTTGGCTACGTACGGTGCGAAAGAAGTTCAACATACATGTCACGTGGACACCGCGTACAGACTCGTGCCGTTTCCCAAACGGCATCGTTTTCATTGAATCGTCTTTTTGTATTCGCATAGGGGGGCGGTGGTGGGGACGGTGGTGGCCGTGGTCAACCTGGCCGGGCGGTTGGCACAGCTCACTACTTGCCACTGAGTGAAGTTTTTCACCAGTTCGATTTCTACCACAGTCGCCCCACACCACACCCTCCCGCCCCGGGGATGACTTAATTGATCATGAACACAAACCAAAGCTCTGAAGTGCATGTTAAACACGATGCAGACACACTATTCGGCAAATACAATTTATAACAAAAAACATTCACGTTAAAATAAGTCGTTCTGGCCTCCAAGGTATCCCTTGCTATCGAGACTTTAATCTCACCGGCGATTCTGACCCAGTTAAATAAAGGACGATCGTTCGTCCATCCATTCACTCACTCACGGACATGTGCTGTACGTCAGCTGTGCATCTGTATTGACTAAAAGGCGTACTGTATTGATTACTATGCGCGTTACTTGTAAATATTGATTAAAGGGCTTCAATGAGCATAAACATCATTACAGTATATATATATAAATACGTAGGCTAGTACCATTCAGGTAGTTATGCAAAACGAGTCGGTTGATAGATCAACGGTGGTTAGGAGTCCAGACAGATGTCCCAAGTGTCTCCAGCGGTCTTTCGAGCACTGGGCTTGGCCACACTCGCCCCCTGTTGTCGATCCTGAGCTAGTGGTGGAAATTCCACGTTCCGCTGGTGGGTTTGCCCAATGTTTTGTGCTTTATTAACGCAACCCACGAGCGTCTCTGTGCGCCACGTGCTGAAGCCTAGCCAGGTTGGAAGCTATTTTAGCCACCGATGATGCTGCTGATGATGATGGGGCTGAGTCAAACCCTGGCCAGGATTCAAACTCGTTGAACCCTTAGGTCTGTACGATCGTGTTCCCCAAGTATTCTGCCGACTTGGCTGACCCGCCCGTGGCGAGGTATGGAGATAAATAGGTGTACTTTGGTGTACACTTTACATACAACCTGAATAGGAGTATTATTTAGGACATTCAGTATCTCGGTGCAAGCAATAGAAACGTGTTATATAGTGTGTGTATATATAACGTGCACAGTATGTATGCCGCAGACGTTATTGCAAGACTAAACATACACACACACAATTGATAACGAAGTTGCTCACGTGATCATACACACGTTGATTGAATGTGTGCAATAATGAACAGGAATGTATTTTTTGTTATCTGACTGTTGTTATTGCAGTATTTTTTCTTAGCCTGTATATGATCACTAACTTACCAGCCACTTGCCAAATACATATATATACACACACAATATATATAATAAAAGGCCAAATAGAGAATGTACTTTCAACATGTATTTTATCCCCAAACAATGAAATGTAAACGTGTTTTTCTTTTACCTTGTTTTAATCCTCGTTTCATGATGATTTACGATCCACACAAAGTATATGCTAAATGGGAGTATTTAATTTAAGATAACTGTAAAATGTAACATAATGTGATCTCCGGTCGGTGACAATTTCAGTCATCTCGGGGGAGATGTGTGCGAGACGAGAGATAAATATATATTACTACAGCGCCACGTTGTCGTGAACAATCGGTCGGCAATTCATTTTGGGAGATATTAATAAGGTGTTTGATGTCATCGTCCTGGTGACGCTGACCTGTCTTGATTGTCAGCCACCTGATTTAGGAAGACAGAGCAACAATTGGTGATGTAGAACCGCCCTATAACCAAAATCACCCGCAAATTAATGCGCGCGCTTATCATCAGGTCTCAGTAGGCTAAGCAAAATGGGGCCTGCATAGTAGTTGGATGGGCTGCCACCATGCGTTATCTGGTTGTTCTTGACTTATGCGAGGTGGTGAGGGGGGTGGAGAACCAGAGGGGGGCAGCACAACAACAACAAAACATACGTTGTGCTATACTTCAATGCTCCCCGCACTCTCAACCAAACCTGCACTGACCAGCGTGGTGAAGCATGGTCAAATAAAGCCATGTGGCAGTGGATTCACGAAAGGGGCTGTATATATAATGTACACAATGCGAATTCGAGTATGTTGCTATCTTACGTGACAATAGTGGTAGCCTCGCTTTGACGATTGGGCGCCCGTGGTTAAAAGTTAAAGTTTCTAAACCACTTTTGGTTTGGTTTGCTCTGGGCACATTTCCCAGAAAGTGACTTTCCCTGTTTCAAATATTGTAGCCTTATGCTCGGCCCGACCTGATGATACGTAAAGGGTGGGGGAGGGGGCTGAGTAGATTTAAAGTTGATGTTTTACGCAGGTGACAACTTCAGAGGCCAGGATGAGAGTCTCATTTGCAAGAGTGGCCAAAAGGGGTCACCAAAATTACGAAAGGTCAAACAAATGAATTAAACGCTGCAATAAAGCAAATAGAAATCAGAGCAGCAGCAGCAACAACAATCAATGTTAAATAAATACATGTCCCGTAGCAAGACTGATCATCGTGCAATTTACAATCGGTCGTGAGCGGGGTTGGTAGAAGAGAGAAAGGGGCCCAACGTCACAAAGAGACCGAGGAGGCCACTCCCTTTGTGGGTGGTGCTAGTGGAGGAGTGGGCGGTGGCTATACCAAGTAGGCAGGGCTTAGGGAGGGAGAGGCTGTCAGCTCCATCAACGTGCCCTGGCTGAGCCCTCCCAGATAAAATGTTATTTGAAGCAATGCGTTGGTGCATCTCCCATCAACACAGAATGTGTAACACTGGCGAGCATGCTGGCCGGGTGATGTCCCTGGCGTCTCCCACAATGACTTTCCGTCTGACTGCTTGCAGGGTCTTGGCGTGTAATAACGGTGTAACGATTAATATCTCGGTGGCGCCGTGACGGTGTGCGCTCGCTGCCACGTGGCTCTCAATCCCCTCCTCCTTTCCCCACGTTCCCTTTCCGTGTGCATGAAGCGTCGTCGGTCATTCCCCCGCTCCCCCTCTCTCGTCTGTCACGCCACCGTCACGGCACGTGGCGAGGGAGGGGGGCTGCTGAGCAGGGGGGGCAACCGGGTTGGACCCCAGGTTGATGTTCCACGTGATTTCTGGAATGGGTCCTTTTTGCATCCAGGGTACAGTCTCGGTAGGTTATTTCTGACCACTGAGTCCCACGTTGGGCCAGGTGGGTCTTGTAATAAGTCCCGGATGGGTTTGTGGCGAGTGCAAGGTGGGTCTAGGCTGAAACCGTAGGTGGTTCTGGGTGAGTCCGGTTTGCGTTCAGGGTATAATCTCGGTCGGTATCTCTACCGGGTCCCACATGTGGGTCCACGTGGTTCTGGAGCGAGTCCCAGGTGGGTATGGTTGAGTCCCAGTTTGATCCGTATGAATCCGGGTGGGGCTGGGCAAGTGCAGTTTTTGTTACAGGGTATGGTCTCAGTCGGTATTTCTACTGAGTTCCATGTTTATCACATGGGTCTTGATTGAGTACAAAGTAGGTCGAGGTAGGTCCGTGTAAATCAGAGCGATTTTCAGGTGGGTCTGGGCGAGATGGCTTTAGGTTGCCCACAATTGAATCTGGAACAATCGTAGACGAGTCTGGGTAACTTCCACATGGGCTCGAATGAGTCCCTGTTAGGTATCGGTCCTCTATGGGTCTGGGTAGGCGCCGTCCCGGGGCTGCGTCTAACACGAACCACTATGCGAATTCAACCGAAACCCAGCTCGGGCCCCCACTTATTCAGCAGCACGCTTGATGTGTATGTACCACGGCAAAACAGTGTTTAAATAAAGATAATTTATTATTATTGTTTGTGGTTGTTGGTGGCTCTGTTCATGGTGCTGATAATGCTGCTGGTGATATTGATGCTGATTATGGCAGTGCCTGGTACTGACGATGCTGCTGGTATTGCCGCTGATGACGATGCTGGTGCTGATGACACTGATGCCCATGATAACCAAGTGATGCCGGTGTTAGGGATGGCAATGCTGATGATGCTCAGATAAAGATGCAGGCGATGCTTTGTTTATGGTGGTGCTGCTGCATCTGTAAATCATCTCAGTCGCCCTATAACCCCTGAGTCCGTCCCTTTACCTGCCGGCAAAGAGCCTTTGATACTTCACGTGGCCGCAAGGTGCACCTAGCCTGACACAAAGGCCGTGATGACGTTACCGCCACTTAGTGGCGAACGGTTGTTGGTGCTGCTGCTGCTGACGATTTTGCAAGTGAATCTGGTGCTGAGGTTGCAATTGGTGAAGATGTTTTATGTTGATGTTAATTGTGATGTGTTGGTAGTACTGTACTACCAACACTTCATCACTGTCCACATTAAATATAATTGGTGATCATTGCATTAATTTGGCGTGTCTTGTTTTCTGGCTCTCAATTTATATTTTTCCATATATATCTCAGCAAATGTTTTCCATTTTCGGAAATATTAATGTCTCAATATGTTTTCATTTGAGAGAGATTTGATTGTTCAATTAATTACCTTTTTTATATAGTCAACCAAAATATCGGCAAATCTGTATTTTACCTGAAGGAATCTGGTAATGTTGCGTTGTGTGTGTTGGCAGTGGTGTACAATCACAATTAACAACAACCAAAACTCAACACGTTTGTCAATAACACTGTGGCCTTCAAAGGTAAAATATATAATAGGCAACGATTTGGCCAATGGCCGAGTCTATATATATAATGGCCTAAACGTTGCCGATTATAATTTATTCCTTTGGAGGCGACGTGTTGGCCAATTGCCAAAACGTTGCCTTTTATATGTTTCCCTTTTAAGGCCACAGTGTTGTTGACGAATGTGTTTCACGTGAATAATTTTCTACAATATGATTAATGAATGGTTTAAACAGTATATGTGGTCGATGGTAGAGAAACCTTTCCAAAACCCGGATTGCTCTGGTGGCTGGTTGGCCTCTATTTAAGTTATATTTATATTCTGTAATCGCAATGATATCGGTGAACAATTGATATCGTGCGACGATAAGAGGCTAATAGGACTCTAATTCTTCAAGTGAGTTTGGTCACCCTATTTAGTAGAATAATAATTGAGGCCTCATTCCACGATTGAAGTGGCAATGCTTTGTTTAGGGATTAAAAAATAGGACCGCTAATTTAGTTCCTATAACTGGCCCCTCTTCTTGAACTATTTTCACAGTTATCCACTTACACCGTCCGCTTCCGGGAGATTAATTTCCATTCCTTTTTATTCTGCGAAGGACATCTTCATGCGCGACACATGTAACTTCCTCCTTTTCGTCTGAAAAAAAAACCAGGGCAAATTTCTGGAATTGAAAAAAAGCACAGCACGTGGGCTTAGACAGGGCACGTCATGGCTCGACGGGATGATAGCCGGTGGCCGAGACTCGGGACAGAGTTGCAGTCAAAGGTGATAAAAGCCACCCAACAAGATGACGTTTCACGTGGAAATAAAAGCGATCATTTCGCCGGTAGGAGCAGATATATGTCTTGTTGCATTGCGGAATGGTGAGATATTTTGACGACGTGGGGGTTAGGGGGGGGGAGGCCTTCATCCTGCAGTGGATAGATCGTAGCTCATGCTGCTGCTGATTATGGCATTCACTTATATCGCTACATACATCTGCATAAAGCATAGAACATTTATCCCGTGACGTCACCGCATTCAGCATCGCGATTCCGATTCCACGTGAATCGGAGCCGAGTCGCGGCGTAAAGCGATTGCAAAAATGTCATCAAAATTAGTCCTGAATTGTTAACCTAATGAAGCAATATATATTTTTAATGAAGCACAGTGAAAGAGCGGTGTATAACATAAAGTTACGATACAATTCGATAGTTGTAAAAAGAATAGTGCGTGTTAACACGATGCAACTTGACAAACGTGAATTAAATGTAAAGTACATATCGTCCGAAACAATGTATTTTTGTGAACTACAATTTAACAAATTTAATTGATGAAATTTTAAACAGTAATTGTATTTTTCTCTCGCTAAATGTAACCCCTTAATTGTAAACCCATTCTAACTGCTAGTTATAACAACAGTAAAAAATAAACTAAATATATAGTACAACTATGATCACGCATGATCATTATGATGATTACAGAATTATTAATATTAATTAAAAAAAACACAATATTTAGTGTCAGAAAGCACCTCCATCGTACAGATGGTGGAGCAATGGAATCTGTTCGTGTGCCGCTGCTCAGCGGATTCTTCCATCGCATGTACAAGAGGTGGCCGTGAATTCGGGTGGCCTTCATCCAGCCGTGGATTAACCACGGCTGCTTGCTGCTACTGCTGTCGATGACTGCGTAGCAAAAAAAAAAAATGTTGTCCCTGGGTAGGAAGTGTTATTTCCTAATTGCTTATGCCTAAAAAGTAGAGAAAATAGCTATTATTCCCCACAAACTTTGCCTGTTGTGACCAGGAAAGTGATATTTTGAAATGCACCTATTTTCAATGAGAAAACGTGGTGTGCATTTGCGTAATTACTTCACGTAAAGTCCTGGTCACAAAAGCAACGTTTGTGGGGAATAATATCCATTTTCTCTACTTTTTAGGCACGATCAATAAGAAAATAACACTTACTACCCAGGGACAAAATTTGTGTGCCACAGTGCATGCTTCGAGTGAAAATCAGGAACGCATCATCTCGATTCCGGAATCGTGCGCGGCGATTCGACGCGCGAGGAAATCGGAATCGCCTCCCGTTTCTCTGCAGCGCTTATTGAGGGTGGATGGTTGGAGGAGGAGGAATGGCCGTGCAGAGTGAGTGGCCTCGCCTGCCATCTCATCACCTCCACACCTCGTCGCCTCACCCAAGGGTGGTGGAACGGGGGTGGGGGGCTTGCACGGGGGTGCCGAGGGTGATGGTCAGGATGGTGATGGTGTGTGGGGGGGAGGGGACTGTTATAATGTTCATACCAGAATTGATGATGGTGATGATGTTAATGCTGATGATGGGGGTGATGGTTGGTGTTGCGTACCTTTGGTGGTAATAACGGTCCCCTGTGGTGGTGGTGGTGGTGATGGTGATAACGATGCCTGTCATGTTAATGATGGGGAACAATGGTGATGATCATACCGGTCATCTTAATGCTAATGGTGTTTGTGATGATGGTGGTTGTGGTTATGATGATTACGCCCGTGATGGTAATGCTAATTATTTTTCGAATAGCGATGCATTTGATGTTCATGCTGTTGATCACGGTAATAATGCCTATGATGTATCCGCATGTATTGAAGATGGTGATGTCAATTACGTTAATGATGATGGTGTACTTATGTTGATGATTGTGAAGATGTTGAATATGATCATTCTGCTTGTGGTGGTGGTGGTGATGCTGCCTATGATGTTAATGACCCTGTTGATGATGATGATGAAGGTGATAATGCTGGCAATGATGTCTACTGTTACTCATTTTGCCACTGATGCTACTGTTGATGATGCCTTGTGATAATGGGTGTGTGCTGCTAATATTGATGCCGCTGCTGTGATGATAATTTAAAAAAAAGCCTAAACCACCGCTCCATATTGCTACCGATCATTCATGTGCTGGTGACAATAATACTGCCTCTGATGGTGCCGATAATTGTGGCGCTATTATTGCTGCTGATGATGATTGGCTCTGATGATGCTGATAGCATTTGAGCCCATGCTGATGCTATTGCTGCTGCTGCTGATGATTTGACCCTCCTCACTTCGTTACTGCAACTAAAGACGCCGAGGCTGTTTAATCACTGACGATGGTTGCAAATCTGCTGCTGCTAATGCCCCTATTAAGGTTTCACTCTGACAATATTGTATCGTTCATCCGCCGCCAAGTGTTCGAAAATCTTACGTCATTTTAAATTATCATTAGCATGAGCAATGCTTTGCATAACACGGCAATTCTGAGGGTAACCGCACTGTGTCACTGCGTTCAAGCAAATGTACCGTGCCCCATATGCCAATTCAGCGACACTTTGTTTGGTTCGGTTGCTTGCCCCTCTCTGTATCTACTTAGCGTGCGTTTAACCCCGAGCTGTGGCTCACATCAGGAGCGAGTTCATCTCTGAACTCGTCTTGACCCCCATCCCACCCCTCTTCACCAACCCACATTGATTAGTGTCGTGAAGTGTGGTGAAGCACTCACAATGACTGACAGTGTGGGGAGGCCTTCATCCAGCAGTGGATTGACAAAGTGGCGTATATTACTGTTTACAACCCCATTGGTACATGCGTGCCTTATGTAAGGCCATCACGCAATTCTTCAACTGATCACGTGTTCGTATTGTAAATCGAACGGAGCATGCAGCATAGCGATTATTTCCACAGCATGATGTATGTACATTGTATGCTTATAAATGTGTGCTTTACATATATATAAAAGGAAGACCTGGCTTGGCGACTGTAAGACGACATCGTAAGAGATTGTGGTGCCAGAAAGATGTGGCACTACTTGAGCATGCCGGCACAAGAAAGAGGAAAGTGGAAACCAATGACGGAACGTGCAGCGGAGACCCGCGGGTTATCTGCCCCAAGTGGATCGTGATGATGATGATAAACATATAGTACGGATTATACTGGTCAACACACTTTTTCTAGCATAAGGTATTCCAACGGTGTTAATGTAATTTTGGGGTGCTGATTCCAAATCTGGCATCAGTTTTTGTCTATCACATCAGGTTTTTGAGATATAAAATATTGCATTTTCAATAAAAACTGCAGAAGAAAAATATTAAATAAATGTGGATATCTACATAAAATGCTATTATAAACACACTATCCTAAAAATACAGCACCATATTTTAACACTAAAGCAGTCACTGACTCGCAACAACTTGCAATCATAAGTGACAGAGTTAATTTCGGGTAAAATCAATGAAAATGGGGTATGCCGATAGCATAAAAATGAGATATGATAGAGCAAATCTGAGACCAGATTTGGAATCAGCACCCTGAAATTAGTATAAAACAGCTGCAAAAGTCCAGGCCAGAATTTTTTTTTTGTTGACCAGTGTATAGAATTGCTGCCAATAACCAAATCATATGGAATGTGCTTTATCTCGTCAGATATCACAAAACTAAGGGGGTGTGGGGGGGTGTGGTTGAGCTGGCATTGGTGAACTATGGTCAAATGAGCCCCCTTGTACGACACGTAAGGCGTAGGGGATGCCCTTATCCACCAGTGACGACAATAGGCCACGTCTGTACATGTACATTGCACAATGCATTCATAAGTATGTAATTATGTACCGGGTCTGTGACATATGTACGTATTTTTTTTCTTATTTACCAATACGTAGTTCTTATACAGAACTGCATTGATCTCTTTTGGGAAAGAAAAAAAACACTTGTTGCGTCAGTTTGGTTCCCACCTGCGTATTTAAATATATGGCTGCCGAGATGATTACAATGATTAAGAAGGCACAGGCGACGATGTACTGTGTAAGACGGTCACTGATTGTGCCCTGGACAATAATAGACTAGTACTGAAATGGCATTCGTAAACATTTATTGACATCTTTCAATATTTATTTCACGCAGGGCGAGGGCCCGTTGAAAATTACGCAATCAAAGTGAGCAATTCCCACCTTGACACAATTTGTTCGTTCGCGGCCTAAGATTGTTTTTTCCCCTGTAGCTTAAAATTGTTTCGACAACTCAATTTTTCGGCGGATGTTGCACGCGAATGGCGCTGCTGCGTTTTCGTAAGAAGCCTCGACTTGCAATGAGCAATCTACCAAAGATGGGGAACGATAAGACTGAAGCAGTGGGCCAAGCCACCCAGCGTGTGCGGGTGGTGTAACTGACCCTGAGATCCATGGACCAGAAGATGGGCCCAGGCATGAAGCTATAAAAGAGGGGGGGAGGGGGGGGCACTGGACAGGGGGCCACATTTAATTTCTTGCACCAGAGCCCATGCCAACCACACTACTTCGTCACTGGTCCCAGAGGTGTTGTTTTCAAGGGAGACTTCCCGCTGCTCCATGTGGCGATTATGTTCTTGATGATGATAAACACATTCCTGCGGAGGGAGCTGGTAGGAACGTTGGGTTGCTCGTTCAATGGCCAGGGTCAACGGCGGCGTGGTGTATTCCGCAAATATGCCCGACTGTGAGGGCGGGCACAAGCCGGCGTGAGTAGGTTAAACGTTGAGTTTTATAAGGGCACCACGAGGTGACCAGCCCCACCCAGCCCCACCCTTCCCACCCCCCACCCAGCCCCACCCTCCCCATCCAGCCCCTCCCCACCCTCCCCACCCGGCCCCTCCCCACCCAGCCCCACCCCTCCCACCCCCCACCCAGCCCCTCCCCACCCAGCCCCTCCCTGTACGACGGACGGACGGACACAATAATTCCCTGTGGACTGGTGTAACCAGGAGGTTCCTACCAGCATTATTATTGATGATTGTAGCCCATCGTCAAGTGCATCGGCCTGCCAGTCCAGCCAGAGTCCAGCAAACGACGGATACGGGGGTGGTACTTGCCCATTGGGGGCGCTAAGCAGACAATATTAAATCTAATTCTATATTTGAAGCTTTCGTGACTGCAATGATTCATATTCTTAGGTTTTTTCGGTAAAGTCACGTAGGATAAAAAACATTTTTAAAAAACCTCATTTACTTGATACAGCTGTCGTGGCTGTGACGGTACCACCTGAAGACGGAAGCTTGCGTAGCTTCCGAAACGTCGTGATTTTTATTTTATTTTACTTTTTTATGTTTTTTTACCTACGTGACTTTACCGAAAAAACCTAAGAATATGAATATTAAATCTATAAACGTATCGTGGGATTGCAGAAGAGAAACAGACAAGAGGTAGAAATGAATAGAGAGATGAGAAAAATGTGGACAAAAGTTGTAATGAGATTCAAGTTCAAGTTCATTTATTAGGTACAGAGCCCTGTGAGCCATTCAGCTCTTGAATCGGGTGCAACCGCAACAAACAAAAAACAAAAACATGAACAAAAAACATCTTAAAGTGAATATGTGACTAAGTGCAAACAGAAAATTCAAGAAAAGACAGCAAAAATATTGCAGAAAAAACACCGTACACCAACGCTGTGTGCAAAAATCTCAGTGGGATGCAAGTCAAACAACAACAACCACAAGACAGCTTCCATTAAGGCCATCAGTCTAACTCTGTACTACAACAAACAAACATGGCTAAACCAATACACTTTTCGAAATCACCAAAATAAAGCCATGAAAGCAATGAAAAAGCAACCATAGGAACTGTGACGGAATTTTCACAATAAATGGAGATGATGATGCAACAAAAATTTAGCGCAATTACAGGGATGTGGACAAAAGACTGGAACGTGTTGACGTGATAGAAGAGTTCTGCAGTATGACGGTGATGAGAAAGACATATCAGCATCGTATGACACTTGGTGCATCCTTGCGTGGTTTTTCTTCATTAATTGAGGGCCTCTTAGATTTATTGGAGCCCTAAGCTCTTGCCTTGTTTGCTGAAATGTCTTGGGGCACCGTTGAAAACGAATTTCTCTAAAACTGATTTTTATGTTTAACTTGTTGTCCCTTCCCCCGCACCTACGATTAGCACGGTTGACTACGTACGGTGTGAATGAAGTTCATCATATATACGGACATAAACAAGCACTCGTGGAAAACTTGCGAGAGTGCCTTGCGACTTATCGTTTTGACCGTGCCTCTCTTTTCTCAGCCGCCTGCTACAGTCCCGCGCGGATGCTGCTGCTGGGCAGCTCGCTGGCCTTTGAGGAGGTCCGCTTGGAGCTCCTGGCCGAGTTGGGCTCATTGCCCTCCGACTCTGGACCTAAACGACCCGGCGAACTGGGCCCGCTGGCCTCGGATGGTGGCGTGAAGCGACCAAGCCAGCCGTCTGGCCGGCGGAGGGAGGTGGGCACTCTGCCGCTCGTGAAATCGACGCTGAAATCGCCGGTGGAGAACTACGTGAGGACGGTACGGAACGGCGGTGGCGGTGGTGCTGATTCTAAACTAAAATTAAACAAAACTTTTTGTTTTACCAGGTAAAGCCCACTGAGCTATGTAGATCTTTTTCAGAAGAGACCTGGCCACGAAGGATAGCTCAACGAAGTGGCTTATTGTATGGAAATGTATATCGTGATTCTAAATGTGGAGGATAAAAATCCACGTGAGCACAGGGAGAACATGCAAACTCCAGATATACAGGCATCAGGGTGGGGATCGAACAAACCACCTCATGTATACTAAGCGAGATAGTTAACATCTCGTCATTGAGGGGATTTGGAAGCAGAACTTTTTGGTGAGCCACCCTTTAAAATGTATATGTGACAAAGACAAAGATCTTCCATATAGCTTAAACAGACTTTTTCGGGTAAGTGTTGTTAGCGAGTAGCACCTATGAAGGCTGGCACGGTACACGAGGGGGTGTTGTTCCAGCACCACGCCCGGCTGCCTTTGTTTCCAAAGCGACGATGTTTACACACGACAATCAGGTACACATTTAAAGGCTGCGTCGACCCAGGGGAGGTCCAATACTGGTTCAGATATTCGTCACTGATGTTGGTCGTAAGTGAAAATTGAACTCGGGTCGCTGGGTTCGCAGCCTCGCGTGGTGTGCTAACCACTGCGCCGCCGCTCGCCGCATAATACGCAGAAACACACGTACCGCCGATTTGCACGGTGCGAAATAAGTTCAACATACATACATTGCTTCTTACCGTTACTCCATCCTCTGTTGGGTCTAACCTTACCCACCCACAGCCTCCCGCGCTGTCCCCATGGGGTGTGTACGCTGGGCTGGAGAAGCCGGCTTACACGTGGACCCTGCAGGAGGTGTGCCGGTGGCTCAAGCGCAACTGCCCCCACCATTACCCCAGCCTCCTGGAGCTGTTCTCCCAACACGACATCACCGGTAACCTCGCGTGAACAAGAGCATCGGTTTCAAACAAGACGCAAATATGTGTACATAGCAGGCAGTCTCTTTCTTTGTGCATAATACAAACAAACAATTTAGCAGCATTTCCTGAAGAAGTGCATTGTGGTCCTGTTGTCTGAGATCAACATTGAGCAAATGCGGCCGACTGACATCAGAAACACAACAACTTTTCATTGAGAAAAAGGGTCTTAATGCCACTAATGGGGGCACGGATTCTCTCCACAATCAAACAAAAGACCAACAGCAGCGATCGAACACAGCAATCACTGACCACCATCAACCACAATGACCCACAAACTCTGATGAATCATCCAATACAGCCACCAAATACAACCTATTACTCCTCTCAGCCATGACCACCAATGACCAACTTCCTTCGTGTAGCTGGGAGATATGATCAACAATGTTCGTAGATCCATGTCAAGGTTGGATTGTGAGCCAGTGGATGGCTTCAGGAGTCGCATCGTGGTGAACATCTGAAAAGCTACCAGTGAATGATCGATGTAGGCAGGGGCGGTACTATGTCGTCCATGATTTGGAATTGGCCTATTATTCGTTTTAAATCGATGCAGAGGATAGCCGCATCTGCCATGCAATGTTTTGTTGTGATTCAATTACGCAATCAAATCCAAACCACTGTTTGCCCAAACGAAATTCCAGGAACCATCAACCGAAAGCCGTACACCATTTATCCTCGTTGAGTTTGCGTACAATATTGATTTTTTTTCATTTAACAGGGCCCCATCGTTGTTGAGATGAATTGCTCTTGCCAATGACATGCGGTAACCCAGCATCATTTATTTAGCAACCCTGGTTCTGCAGAAGAGACCCAGGTGGTTGAAACAGGTCCAGAATTTGCAAGTTTAACCAAAATGCTGCTGGTTAATACTGGTCTGGAAAGCCAATAGGCAATGGACTAAAAATATCCTTTTATGTGGAGAAATGAATCTGAAGTCATGTTATTTATTTACCTAGAATACTCCACAACACAGAATGAATGTTTTTTGTTCCACTATGGGGTTGTTTTATATTTGTATGCGTTGTGCGCGTTGGTACACAGAGACACGGAATGCAGTTCTGCTTACATACGCTGTTTCCCACAAGGCCGCTTGATACATTTTCTTAAATCTAACCTCCCCACAATGCCTTTTGTTGATGTATTCCCCGCAAGGCCGAGCGTTGTTGCGGCTCAACGAAGGGAAGCTGGCGCGCATGGGCGTGCATCGGGAGAGCCAGCGTCAGGAGCTGCTGCAGCAGCTGCTTCAGCTGCGTCTGCGTGAGGAAGCACAGCAGCTATCGCTGCTCAGCCGAGGTGAGCGAGGGAGAAAATGTTTCGGCCGAGACCCGAGTAGAACTGGCTCTGTCCGATCTTTTAAGTAATCGATTGCCGACAATCTGTTCGATTGCTCGACTTAGTCGGACAACACACAAAAAAAAACGTTGGTAGGAAAAATAAAATTCTCACCTCTGTTTTACACGCGTGACGGTGGTCGGGAAGTGATGGGGCGGGGCTTTGTGACGTCATTGGGATTATCAGCGGTGTCACACCAGCCATGCCTGTGATACCATACAAAGAATGTTTGTCGCATTGCCATCAAACCCACTTTTTATTTTATTTTATGTTTATCTCAGAGCTGGAATAAGTCAAATTCAATGAAAAATCCTATTTAACGTGTTTTTCTGTTTTCTTCAGTAATGAGTAACGAGGCTAAGACCGCCAGTTCAGGACACTCGACATTGCAGTTTAATCACAGGTGGCTACCTGGTTGAATACTCTGACCTTTGAGCCAGCCGGACAATTTGAAAGCCATTTTTTTCATAGATAACATACATTTTTAATGATATCACCAGGGACCTCGAGAAATGTCACCAAATGATTGTTCAACTAAGGAACATTTCAGTAAGGATTAATTATTTGCCTGTCTGCCTGTGCTGCATTACAGGATGGGGAGAGAGTTTGTAACTGGAATATGGAATTTTGGGCTGTGCCAGTGCTGAATCATTGGAAGAGGGAGAATTGGAAGAAAGAAAGCCTGGCACAGATCATCGAGAAAGTAGGGAATGGAGATTCCGCTCACATTGACGTAATCTTGTGTCGTCACATGTGCCATTTTTCACCGTTACGTAATGACCATATACTTGTATTTTATTAGGGCTGCAACTCACGGCTGATTGTGTCACACACTCTGAACCTCCGTTGTGATTGACATTGAGTCACGAATTCATTGCTTGCGGTTATGTTTATATCTCTGAAGCCCTGAATGAACACGGTGTGCTTACGTACCATTTGGAGGATTACTCCAAGTTGGTGGAATTGGCGGCCACTTCCAAAATGCAAAAATTGGCACCCAAATGAGGCGGTTTCTTTATTGGATGGCTCACCATGGCTGAAGTTTTTAAATTGTTTTTTTTTTATCGTAAATTTTATTAGCAAATTCTGAAATCCAAATGGATGAATCTTATATAATGATTAAAACTGAGGGCTCATCAGCAGTTGTTGCAGCTCTATTGTTTTTTTATCTAGCAGTGTGTGTGTGTGTGAATGTGTTTACGTGTGTGTATATATATTCATGTGTACAGTATTTATTTGTGCATATTTTATGTGTGCTGTATATCTTCACATATCATAACCTGGCCTGGGCCTCTCCTATGTATTTTCGGCTAAAAAATAGTACCTGGTGTGGTGGTGCTGCTGGTAATGGTGGTATGGTCAGGAGCACGTGGTGCTGGCAACACCACCAGCTGTTCTGCCGTGCTGGCCTTAATAGGCACTTACTAACAGCACTTGCCCCAACAGGGTAACCAGGCTCACATAGGTCTGTATTTGTGTTTGTAACTAATTGGTGTTTGCACTTTAATTGTAAATGGTGGCGTTATTTATGTTGGTGGAACAATAGTGCACTTTCGTAAGGACTAAATCTTGAAGCAACCTATTGTAGCATCACCTTGAATTTTGTTCTCATCACGGGTATTTCCCAGATTATAAGATGATCCGAAAAGTACGACGCGCCACAAACTTTGTGCCCGGTGTGAATAGAGTTACACAAATCTGGTCACGCGCACACACACGCGCACACACACGCGCACCGGACTACAAAACGCACCCCCGACTTTTAATTTATAAAATACCGAGAGATAAAGGCGCATGCAGGGAAGAATGGTGCAACTTAGAACCTGGGGAATATGGTATATTTATTCCCCTTCCATCCAATATATTTTCCTTTTCCCCCCACATAATTTATTTTATTATCTGATGCAGGAATTTATGTTGAGTATATTTTTACTATATATAACTTTAAGTGTACACCGAGTAACTGTGTTCACCTGTGTAAGTTGTGACCCCCCCCACCGTGCTCTCCCGGTAGCTCCGTTGACTGAGGAGGTTTCGTAGAGTAGTCAGTAGTGCATGTCTGTGTTAAACTCACAGTGCCCGTGACAACGTTTCTGTGACTGCAGTAGCCAGCAGAGCAGGGCTTGCACATACATAGAGGCAGCATTGATGAGAAATCGATGTTCCTATTTCAAAGGACTGGTAGATAGGTGTTCTCGCAGAGGTAAGAAAGGCGGTCTTAGGCACTGCTGTCCCTAACTCAAACCCCTAATCCCTAAACCTAGCCCTTACCTCTGGCCCTTAACCCTCACCTTTCCTACAGATATGGATTAAGTTGAGCAGTCTAAACCCTTTACCATAAACCATATCCTAACCCATAACCTAAACCGTAATAATAACCTATAATCTTAAAACTTGAAGCCGAACTCCAAACTATAACCCCCCCCCCCTAATCCTCTAATCCTATCCCAACACAAAAACTAAAGGACTATCACTCCTTTATATTTCATCAACTGAAAGCTAAGGAAGTGAACATTGGAAAGGACCTGAAATAGATAAGCACAACCGCTAGAAGTTATGGGATTGCATTAAATTCTGGTCTATAATTTGAATAAAAATGTGAGGACAGTAGCGTTAGAGACTTGTTTTTTTTGCCATATATGTGGGCACAGTAGTCTGTACGAAAATGGATGGCTTGTTAACATTTACTGACAATAATAATAACAATGAGGTATGTCATGATGCATCGATTCATAGACTGACATCCATTTTGACGCTCATAATACATGTATCAAATCGTACGTGAAATAAACTCTTATTTATAAAGTATGCAAATTATGTGCAGATGTTAATGGTGCAGACAACACTGTACAAATAATACAAAAATGGTATAAACTGTATAAATGAGACGTTAAAGACGAGACAAAAATGATTCAAGTATTCAATTGATGTGTGACCCCAAATTGTGACGATTCCTCAAATGGCGAGGAGGTTGAATTATTACATGCCTAATAATAACACAATTGGGTTTAAAGTCAATTACGTTACATAATGATTGGTTAAGCCCCACGTCAGGAAATTGAGCCCAGCACCTATTCAAGGGTGTGGAATATATGGCCCATGGGCTTCCGAATACAGCCCACAAATTCACCCCATTCGGCCTGTGGCCACACGAAGCCCACCACTTCAAAATGGCCCAAAAATTATATTTATCTGTCACTGATAGCATCCTAGCCGCACTAATTGGGTCCTAGAGGGTGAATAACTTCGACTTGGCAACAACACAGTGTTTTGTTATCTTAACGCACTCGGTCACATCTGTCAGGGCAAGGACCTCTTGCCATGACAAACGTGACAGGCGTGCGTTCATGTGGTATGTGGTATTTGAAAGTCCTAGAAAGGTATTTGAAAGTCATCTTTGGCCTTCAGGAAGGAAAAGGTTACCCCCACCCCTCTCTTGCTTGCTGAGCACTGGGTTTAAGCCCAAGGGCTGTTGTCCACGGCAGGACACTGACCCAGCACCTCTTGGGTCTATTCGTGTCTTTACACTCGGGATGAAAGTTAAAAAGTCAAGGCATATGTAATATGCTTCATGTTCTCATCCCAGTCACCAATTTCGATGTGATTGGTAAAAAAAAAAGACGAAAAATACGTTCAAATAATGAGTCGGTGAATTAATGAATACGTGAATGTTGGAACCCAATGCGGAAACAAAACTTTTGCAGAGAGAACAAAACTTTCGTGCCAAACCCACGTGCAGTTCTTAGACTTTACTTTGCGTGACTCTTCTCTGGAAAAAGTAAAAAAAAAAATGTCGTTCATCGAGTCTGGATATCCTCACATTGTGCTGGTGACGATTTGCCGTGGATCCGTATTTTATTTAATAAAGTGTTGAGATGAAAAAGTTGTAGGTGTTGGTTTTTTTCCTTGCTTTTAAAACTTTCTTGTTATATTTTACGTGTAAATCTGTGTGTATTCAGCGGCAGTTATAAGCACCACGCTACACACCTGAGTTCGATTCCTGGCCACAGCTAACATCAGTGGCGAGTGACAACTGAACCGGTCCTGGGCTCCCCCTACCCCCTTCATCGACCTGCATTGACCAGCGTGGTGAAGTATGGTCAAATAACCCCTACGACCAACAGCGTGAAGAATCCTGCATCCCGCAGTGGATTGACAAAAAAGCTGTCCTTTGTGCTTGAGTGCCTCATGTCATCAACATTTCCTGATTTTAAGTCAGTTGGTGAGGTTACCAAACCTGTCAACCCATAAGGTTTACTCTTGTACAGCGAAATTGAGTTTTCAAGTCCGTACGGCGTACAGCCGTTTCAATACGGGCAAGAAAATACATACATTTAGTAACATAATTTTTGTCTATTTGTTTGTGTTTCTCCCTTGTGATGGGACTTTGTAGGATGAACGTTGAGATGTATAAGGGCACGAGGTGACCAATAACACCTGCATCGGTGTGTAATAAGATGGGGCACTGATAAGCGTTTGACAGGTGTGGGTTCCACAGGGGGTAATAATGTGTGATTATATTATCTGGCCAAGACCTGGAAACAAGCTCCCAATAGAGATGATGGAGAGATGAAGTTACAGCTGCCATTGCCCAACCATGACTCTTGCTCCAGGCTAGGTGCACTTGAGGCAAGATCAAGTGGAAAAAATTTACCCGTAAAAACAAAGTTTATCACTCTAAATCCTTTATATGCGTGGCGGCTCGAGTCCTCTCGTCCTCTGGCTTGAGATGGCTGCCACCTATGGGTCAGATGATTGTCTGCCAGCATTAAGCAATTGGTAATTAAATATTTTTAAAAATTCCCTAAACAGTGTAAAATTTAGGAAATTTTTTTTCACGAAAATTAATTGTCACGCACAACGAGTCTGTGTGGAAAATGTCAGCTCGATTGGATCACGGGAAGTGGGTTAAAAAACGACCGAAAGATTTGCACGGTCATAAAGGATTTAAAAAGCTTCATACGCTTAGGTTTTTTCGGTAAAGTCACGTAGGTAAAAAATAATAGAAATGAAATAATAAATGAAAATAAATCAATTAAATCACGACGTTTCGGAGGCAACACAAGTCTCGGTCTTCAGGTGGGACCGTCACAGCCAAATGTATCAAAATAAATCAATTAAATCACGTCGTGATTTCATTTATTTATTTTCATTTATTATTATTTTATTTCTATTATTTTTTTACCTACGTGACTTTACCGAAAAAACCTAAGAGTATGAATACTTGCAGTCACGAAAGCTTCAAATCTAGAATTGTCAAAAGCTTGCTGGTTAAAAGCACGGACAGACCCAGGTGTTCATTTCGTGGGGCATATGTCGACAGCTCACCCTGAATAAATAACAATCAGAGGCTGAATGAATGGCCAAGGACCATAGAGTAGACATAACTATTTAAAGTAAGACACAAGCCACGGGGCGCAGACAAAGGCAATTAAACACAACCCAGCACTTTAAATAAGGATACACGTATGCGCAAGCATTGCTATTGCTAACCGCCTCTAGGGCAAAGAGTAGCTCGTTAAGCATGCAATCCAATTGGCGTCCAACGTTCGCTCGTGTCGCTATCTGCCTGGAGGGCGTCTTGCTTCCGCATTGCTGAGTGCATCAAATGCCTTTTGGCCTCGCTCCCGCAGTCGGAGGCTTCATAGCGGCCCCGTTCTTAGCGACGGGCGGCCGCTCTAGGCAAGTAGTGGGTGCGTCATTTCGATACAACAACACAAAATTCCACCACTTTGCCGACTTCGTTTCAAAGTTTTTGGCTGAAGCTCGCTGTACCCGGCGAGGTGTGATGCCCGCCGGCCCGCGCGGACGCTCACAAGAAGCCTAATGCGCCACCGCGGGGCAGGCGAGACGCACACGGAGCCCGACCGAGGCGGGGGCGATGCTGCCGGGCGGTGCGTCCAGGCAAGCAAAGGGGCTCCGTACGTGAGTAGGCCGCCGCCGCCGCCGCGACGCACCCGCCCGCCCAACGCCGCCAGCGTAGCCTCGCCGCCGCCGCACACATGCACGCCAAGAAGCGCTACCTGCTGCTCGCCATCGCCGCGGCCGCCTGCTGCCTGGCGCTGCTGTCGGTCGCCACGCTTCTGGGCGCCGTGGCCACGGGCGCGAGGTCGCGCTGGGCCCCCCGCTCTCGCCTAGCGCAGCAGCGGGGCCACGCGTGGCCCCGCTGGGAGGGGGCGCCGCTGCCGCCCGCCTTGCTCGGCGGCAACAGCGACGGAGCGGCGGGGCCGTCGTCGCCCGGTTCGTCCTGGGAGGAGGATGACGACGAGGGAGGAGGGCAGCTGCAGCAGGGACACGGGCTGCACGGGCAGCAGCAGCAGCCGAGGGAGAGGCACCGAGTGTCGCGGCGCGGCAGCAGCGCCTACCGGGGCCGGCGCTGCCGCATGGAGACGTGCTTTGACGCGACGCCGTGCCAGAAGCACGGCTTTTCCGTGTACGTGTACCCGCGCGCAAAGGGCGACAAGGTGTCGGAGACGTACCAGAAGATCCTCACGTCCATCGAGGAGTCGCGCTACTACACGACCGACCCGAAGAAGGCGTGCCTCTTCGTGCTGGGCATCGACACGCTGGACCGCGACCGCCTCTCGCACCAGTACGTGCACAACGTGCGCGCACGAGTCGCCGCGCTGCCGCACTGGAACGGCGGTCGCAACCACCTGGTGTTCAACCTGTACTCGGGGACGTGGCCCGACTATGCCGAAGAGGACCTGGGCTTTGACACGGGCCAGGCCATGCTGGCCAAGGCGAGCGTGAGCGTGGACAGCCTGAGACCCGGTTTCGACGTTTCGCTGCCGCTCTTCTCGCGGGAGCACCCGCGCACAGGCGGCGAGCCGGGCGCGCTGCGCGCCAACAACGTGCCCCCGGTCCGCCACCACTTGCTCGTCTTCAAGGGCAAGCGCTACCTCACGGGCATCGGCTCGGACACACGCAACGCGCTCCACCACGCACACAACGGCCGCGACGTGCTGCTGCTCACCACGTGCCGCCACGGCAAGGACTGGGCGAGGCACAAGGACGCGCGCTGCGACGCCGACAACGCCGAGTACGAACGGTGCGTATTTGGTGGGGTTGAGAGAGTGAGAGAGAGGTCGGGTCTTGATTTGGGAGGGGGGGGGCTGAACTCGTGTTACTCACGTCTGGGTCCTGGGGGTGTTAAGTCTGGGTCTTGGTGGGTCTGTGTGCGTGAGGTTTGAGGTGGAACTGATGAGGTCAAACTGGCGTCTGGGTGTTCAACTAATAGCTTGCGTCTGTGTGCGGTAAAGTTTGGAATGGAGCGAGCTAGGATTGGAGTGGATTACAGAGGTCAGAGTTTGAGAGTTCAACTTGTGTCGTGGTTTCTGGGTCGTGTGTGGGAGTATTGGCTGTTGCATGAATAATGCGTTTGGCTTGGAGGTCTGGGTATTGAAGCTGGTGTCCTGATGTCTGGGTCGGCTTGTGGGAGTATGGGCCAAATTCCATTATTGTGGCTTGGCTGTGAAACTGGTGTCCTACTGTGTAGGCTGGTGGGTGGGGTTTTGGGTTGAAACTTGTGTTTGAATGGAGGCAGAGGTCTTGGTGTTAAACTTAGGTGCTGTGGTAGAAATGTATGTGTGGGAGTATGGAATTTCGTGTGTCAGCAAGGGTTTTGATGGTGATTGGTGAGAATGGCATCTAGATGTTCAACTTGTCTGGGTCAATGTATGGGGAAGTATTGGGATTGCGTTTTAGTCCGAGTTGGTTGACGTTGGAGGTCTGGGTGTTTAAGGTGATGTGTTGGAATGTTTTACATTTCTTGAGCTCGAGTTTGGGGGTGCACTGCTGGGAGTTGGGGTCTGGGAACTTTGCCTTTCGTTCCAAGGTGTGGTCAGAGAGTGGGAGTATGGGTTGTAGTTGGGTTGGGCTTTTTAGGTCATGTCTGTGTTTACATGTGGAGTGTTGATGTCTGGGTTCGTGTGTGGTAGCTTGAGCAGGGCTGCTGAGGTTGAGGTCTGGATATTCTAATGGAGCTTTGGGAGTTTGAGGCCTGGTGGGACGTGGGCTGATAAGGCTTTAGGGGTCTGAGTCGGTGTCTGAGAATCGGAGTTTGAGTCTGGACCCTGGTTTTGGGTAGTCTGAGTTGGGTAGATAGTAAGCTGGAAATCTGGATCTGTGTGGTTCTGAGTTAGGTTTTTTGTGTGTGTATGTGTTTGGCTCATTATCAGGTTCATCGCATCGGATTTGAAAGTGAGGTTTTGAGATCTGGATGTTCATCTAAGAAGAGTGTAGGTCATTGCCATTGACTGAGTGCTGAAGTTTTGGCCAGGGTTAGGTTGGGTTGAGGTCAGGGTTTGGATGTGGATCAGAAACTCTTGGTTTGGGCTGCGTGAGGAAGTGTGCGTGCAATGTGTGTAGCGTGACTGTTTGCAGCCACGTGTCCGATGGCGTGACGGTTACCTTTTAGATTAGTTTAAGGAAGTGTGTGCATGTGTGGGCAAATTGTTGCACAAGGTGGGTTAGTGCCTCGTGCTACTAACCCGGCCAAATGAGTGAAATTCCTGGCATTGACTGACAATTGAGAAGCGATAGCATAATCAGTTCTGGGCCTCCCCTATGTCAAATCGCCAAACTCCTCTAGCGCCTTGCCAGCCTTCATGTCTACGACGGCACTTTCTCCAAGTCTATGTAGACTATACGGGTAAATGTTGTATTTTGTGTTGTTTACAGTACGTTCTTACGTGTTTAGTTATGAATGAGGGTTAGTTGGCGTGCTTCATGAGTGCTGATTGGTATCGTAGCAAGGTTTTAAGTGGGTGTTGCTGATTATGGTTCATTGAGTGTGCGGATGCGTGAGTATGAAAGTTTGTGTGGGCGAGTGGCGGTGTGCGTGTAGCGATGAGTGAGTTGGTGGGGGTGTGAAGAAACAGCTTTCGGGGAAGGGTTAGGCAGTGTGGTGGATGGGGTGTGTCGGCGCGGTTGACCGAGCGGTTGTACGTGCGTAAGGTTGTATTTGTTAATCAAAGGTTAAAAACCGTGGCGTTTCCGCCTCTTCCTCCTCCTCCCCCCCCCCCCCACTGGTTATTTAAATTTAGGCACACCTTTGTTTTATGACATGCGTATCGAAACTTTCAGTTTTACTGGACGAAACTGCATCATGCTGCTATTTCCCGCAGGACCAAAACCATAAAACATGAGTCAAAACCACATCTTGCACGTGGGCGGATTGCGAAAGAGTGTGGCTGTATCCGCGAGCCCACTCTTCTACAATCCCAGTCAGAATATGTTCGATTTTGTGTTTGTTTGTTTTTAAATCATGGTTGCTGAGCACAGGCCCAAAGGCCCGAAATGTCAAGCAAGCCCAACAACAAAACAGCACGACTGAAGGTGTGATAGATGAGAGTGAGCAAGGTTATTACAATATAGATGAAAAGAGACGATGCGAGGGAATTCCAAAGTGGAGCAGCACGAAGGGAAGAAGCAGAAAGAAGAGAAGTGGTTGTGACCTGCGGTGTGTGGTGGTTGTTGAACACGGTGTGAATGACACGAAACAATCACTCCCCCAGTAGCCCCAGAGTCCTCAACATGGGTGGGTGGGGTGGGGGAATCATTGAGTGATGTTCATGCGCACAATAACCCCGGTAGTAGCAATAGAAGAGTGGGAAGGAAGCAACTCACTACCAGCGAGCTAGTGAATGGATTTGTTAGCCACACACACCACCACTGCCAGTTAGTACAAGGACCTGGTTTGGGCTGTTCTAGGTTAACTCTGTTTAAAATAGGTACTTGGATAATTGCTTGGGTGATCGAGGTATCCTGATGTGCTGGGTTCTGGCCATACCGTTCCCTTAAAGTGCCATGCGTGCCTAAATATGCGCGCTCACTAACAAGTGCTTGCCCAAGCATTTTCTTTTCCAGACGAATAGGTGGGATCTGTTATGTGTGCGTGTGTTGTGTGCGGGTGTGAACGCACAAGAGAATGTTTGTTTTGTAAAGCACCTTGGAGTGGAGTTTTCAAAATACGAGAAGTAGTCAAAAGTTTTTTTTCTTTTGGGTTGGGAGAAAGTGATCCCACATTAAATATACTGCTGTATGGTTACACACTAACCCATACATTCGTATACATTAACTTATTTGAATGACTTGCACATTCATTAACTTTCAGCATACAATCCCTACTCTTGTTACATTATTTTCATAAAACCGGCACGTGCTTTCTCGCACATTTTCATTATTGGGAATCTCGGCAGTGCCGGCTCATTGCTCTAACACAGTCATTATGATCCTTCCTGAGAAACAAAAACACTGAGACTGGTGTCAAGAAGTAAGAGATTCTGCAGTAATCGCGTGGTGTTCCGACAGTCATTATGAGCAGGCTAAGATGCGGATGACAACCGAAACACAGGGCTTGTATCAAGGATTTTGGCATTAATGGCTTTGTGCTCCGACACAGCCATTATAAAGTCACTGAGACGCAGAAGACAATACATACCCAAGACTCAAATCATTGATTACAGCAGTTCCGGCTCAGTGTCTCTGACAATACTCAACATCTGCCCCAAGGCATCTGTGGATTTGCATAAGCGAGGGTGTTTCTTTAATTGGGGCATGTGGCAACTCTTCCTACCCGCATGCGAGCTCGCCCACTCAGCTGTCATCGCCACAGCCCTACACACTTCCTTCCCCACGCTTGCGTACTTTCGTGATTAAAGTTGCGTGTGGATGTTTGTAAATTGTTTGGGGAGCGGCAGAACAGCGGTAGGAGAACGACGGCGCTGCAAGCAAGAGGGTCCGAGTTTAATTCCGTGGCCACGACTGACATTGGTGGCGATTGATATCTGAACCTGTGCTGAATCTCCCCCACCCCCCAAAGTTTGCTTTGACCTTAAATTGATTACAGTACCTAGTGTGGTGTGTAATACATCAGCATGGTGGCATAGGCCACACCACCCCCTATCGTGAGCTGTGCTGGCTTTTAAAAAGTGCTCATTAACGGGGCTTGCAGCCCAACGAACGGTCTGTTAAAGAGGTACACGGACAATCTCGGTCTTTGATCTGTGTCGGTGTACAGAATGTGTGTGTGTACACTAATGAGAACCTTAAAGTAGAAATGTTTTGTCGTGTTAAGTCACATATGCGTCAAACAACTTGGTTGTTTAACAAATATTTACCTGTGTTGATATATTTATTGGTGTTGGCAGTGGTACGCATACGTGCGTGTGCCGTAATTAATTCTGATCGTTGGCATATTTAACCAGGTGATAGCCCGTTCAACTTCGCTGCTCCCATGTCTCAGCATTACTTTACTAAACAAAACTTTGTATTTTACGAGGTAAGGCCCACTGAGCTATATAGATATTTTTTAGAGGAGAAGCCAAATACTCTACACACGCATGGGAGAGAGACCTGCAAACTCCAAATGGACAGACGTGAGGGTCAACGATCCAGCCCACGGCCTCCTGTATACCAGGCAAGGTAGTTAACATCTCTCATGAGGGCCTAGTCACACCACGTGCATCTTGTGTTATTTAACCATACTTCACTACACTGATCAGCGTGGGTTCGTGAAGGTAAGTTTATTCAAATTAAGCAAATGTTGCTATTTGCCATGTTTCCTTAAAACAAATAAAACCAGCAGGAATAATTCAGCGAAATTAAATCAGAGTTTACCCTAAGAAGTTGAGTAAGTGGAAGCAGCTGGGTCCAGTCGTTTTTGGACTGCTATGAATCTGGTGACCTGAGTTCGATTCTCACCCGTGGTTTACATCAATGCCCCCCCCCACCCCATTCATCAGCCTGCACCGACCAAGTGGTGAAGTATGGTCAAACAAACACCTTGACCGACACGGCCTTCGTGCAGCAGTGGATCAACATTATCAGTACTAATTCGCGGATTAGCTGATATCGGTATACAAATACCATTTATACATGTTTATCAACACAATCGCCCCAAATATATATAAGTAACATGTGGTTCAACACCACTGCCAGCCCTATCAGGGTCCGGCTAGCAAGGAAGCCCGCTCCACCATTCCCCTTTTGTTATTTAAAATCTTTTAACATGCCCTGGCGTGTTTGCGAGCGCCCATTTCTTTTATT